TGCCTGAATTCAAATCCCACCTGCACACCTTAACAGCTGCAGTAACTAAGTTATTTAAACATTTTTAAAAATTAATTTTTAAAAAACCTGTATGTAGGGGCACCTTCCTGGCTCAGTCAGTAGAGTATGTGACTCTTGATCTTGGGGTTGTGAGTTTGAGCCTCACGTTGGGCATAGAGATTACCTAAAAAAAAAAATAAAGTAAAATAAAATCTATATGCAGTAACAACGAATGATTCCCAAAAGAAACTGCTAAGTGGGAAAGAAAAAAGTGGTAGCTCAGAATCATCCACTAGGAGTTCATTTGTGCATTTAAAATGTTTTCTTGGAGCATTGTCTAGCTCAGCAGTTCTCAACAAGGGGCAATATCCCCTGACCAGGGACATATGGAAACACTGTTAGTTGGTCACACTGGGGGTGGGGGGGTGGGGAGGGAGAACTACTGGCATCCAGTGGGTGGAGGCCAGGGATGCGGCCGAACGTCCTGAATGCACAGGACAGCCCATCCATGACAAAGAATGATCTGGCCCCAAATGGCAATAGCAGAGAGGTGGAAAATGCTGATCGGTGTGTTTGCAAGGACCCACGCCGTTTGGGAGATGTACACCCCAAACTAATTTCAGGGGATACATGAGAAGGAGATTGGATTGGAGGAGGTCATCAAAACCTTACTAGTCGGGGCGCCTGGGTGGCTCAGTCGTTAAGCGTCTGCCTTCGGCTCAGATCATGATCCCAGGGTCCTGGGATCGAGCCCCACATCGGGCTCTCTGCTCAGCGGGAAGCCTGCTTCTCCCTCTCCCACTCCCCCCGCTTGTGTTCCCTCTCTCGCTGTGTTTCTCTCTGTCAAATAAATAAATAAAATCTTAAAAAAAAAAAAAAAAAAAACAACCTTACTAGTCAAGGTTTATTTCTCTCTCTCTCTTTACAAACAGGGTGTATTTATGTATTGTTCATGTAACTAAAAATTACATTAAAAAACAACAACAACAACAACAACAACAAAATAGTACCAAATGTATCCAAACCAACCAAGGAAACAAAACTCTTTCTCTGACCCTTACCTCTCCCTCCAGATACGCTATGTCTCCTTCCTTCCTGTCATAGCCAGACTCCTGGGGTCTTCACCTCCTCTCTCCTTCCTCCCCACCCACCCCAGTCTGGCTTCCAGTGCCAGCCCCCTTGCAGCTCAGCCAGGCCACAGCTGTCTCTGGGTTGTTACTGAATCCAGTGAATCTTGTTATCGTAGTTGACCTCCTTTTGAGACTGCAGGGAGGGACTGTGCGACCTCCCTGAGCTTCTGGAGCCAATCTCTCTCCGCCCCCTTTCTCTGGCTGCCACCCAGGACCTGTCCAAGTTCCTTTCCTTCTTACTATCCCTCCAGTGTCATTCTTCTCAGATGCCTTGTCCCAGGCCTCTGCTCTTCCTGCATTTCAATCCAGAACCATCTACACAATCGGTGGGATATATTGCAAGTGAAAATGTGGGGTCCCTTGTTCAAAATTATTAATAATTTCGGGGCGCCTGGGTGGCTCAGTTGTTGGGCATCTGCCTTCAGCTCAGGTCATGATCCCAGGGTCCTGGGATCGAGCCCCGCGTCGGGCTCCCTGCTCGGCCGGGAAGCCTGCTTCTCCCTCTCCCGCTCCTCCTGCTTGTGTTCCCTCTCTCGCTGTGTCTCTCTCTGTCAAATGAATAAAATCTTTAAATATATATATTAATAATTTCAAGATGGTGACAGTAAATCATTAAACCAAGTGTAGAGCCCTTCTGAGCATGGGGCCCCAAGGGACTATGCAGGTCAGTTGCCCACAAAGCTGGCCATGCTTCCGAATCTCCTGGGTATAATCCCCAGCCTGTCTCACTGGCCTGCTCCCCCCAACCCCATGTTCTCCACCTTGGTGGTGGCCCCACCATCGCCCAAGATCTGCTCTCTGAGGGTTATTGGGGTAAACAGAATGCACTTCTAAAGATGTCCAGGCATAAACGCCTGAAACGTATGAATATGTTGATCACATAGCAAAGGGACTTTGCAGATACAATTAAAGTATCTTACAGAGGGCCGCCTGGGTGGCTCAGTCGTTAGCGTCTGCCTTCAGCTCAGGTCATGATCCCAGGGTCCTGGGATCGAGCCCCGCATCAGGCTCCCTGCTCCGCGGGAAGCCTGTTTCTCCCTCTCCCACTCCCCCTGCTTGTGTTCCCTCTCTCACTGTGTCTCTCTCTGTCAAATAAATAAATAAAATCTTTAATAAATAAATACATCAATTAAAAAAAAGTATCTTACAGACCTTAAAATAGATTATCCTGGCATGATGGCGAATCTTATGTGTCCGCTTGGCCCAGCTACAGTGCCTGGTTATTCACTCAAACACGGACCCAGGTGTTACTGGTGGAAGCATTTTGTAGATGTGGTTGATAGTGATGATCAGTTGACCCTAACTAAAGGAGATTACCCTTGAGAGCATGAGTGGACCTCATCCAATCAGTTGAGTAAAACAGAGGTTTCTCTGGGGAAGAAGAAATTCTGCTCCTGCAGCATCTGCTCCAGCCTAATAGAATTTCCACTCTGCCCCATGGATTTGTGGCTAGCCAGCCCCTCCAAGCACAGAATCCAATTCCTTGCAAAAAATCACATATATGGTTTCACTTATTTGTGGAACATAAAGAATAGCATGGAGGACATTAGGAGAAGGGAAAAATGAAGGGGGGGGGAATCGGAGGGAGAGATGAACCATGAGAGACTTGGGCTCTGAGAAACAAACTGAGGATTTTAGGGGGGTGGGGGATGGGTTAGCCTGGTGATGGGTATTAAGGAGGGCACATACTGCATGGAGCACTGGGTGTTATACGAAAACAATGGATCATGGAACAGCACAACAAAAACTAAAGATGTGCTGTATGGTGACTAACATAACATAATACAATTTAAAAAATAATAAAAAATAAAAAATAAATGTTAAGCTCTGTAGGGTTTGTTCTGGTTCCCTGGAGAACCTTGATTGATACATCTGTGTTATCCAGGTGGGCCCAATCTAATCACATGAGCCCTTAAAAGCAGAGAACTTTCTTTGGCTAGAGGCAGGAGGAAGATGGAGCAGAATGGGAAATCAGAGAGAGTTGAAGCCTCAGAGGGATTCCACTCATCGCCAGCAGAATGGAGCTGCACGGAAAGCACCAGAAGGATGCAGGCAGCTTCCACACACCAGCCCCAGCTGGCAGGAGCCAGGCAGCTCGGGCCCACAGCCACAAAGAACTGAATTCAGCCAATGCCTCTAATGAGCTTGGAAGAGGATTGTTCCGAGTAAGGGGCGCAGCCCTGCTGACATCTTGATTTCAGCCCTCACAGACCTAAGGGCCCACCCAGACTCTCACCCTACAGAAACTGTGGAATAAAAAGTGTGGGTGGTTGTCAACCACACAGGTTGTGGAGATTCCTTACACCAGCAGTGGAAAACCAATCTCCTCTCTCTCCTCTCTCCTGCAAATCCTGTCCGTCTTGGTTCTCAAGTCCAAGTAAGCCTACCCAAATCCCTTTTGGTCGTACTTCCTCTCCATCCTCATGGCCCCTGCTCCAACTTAGGCTCCTCCCCAGGGTCCCTGCACCTAGCCTCACAGCCTCCCAGCCAGGGCCAGGAGGAGGGTGACGCAAAATAATAATAATAATAATAATAATAATAATAATAATAATAATAAATAAAGGCAACATCAAAGAGTCAGTAACCAAGATTGACAACAATGTGACACAACAAATGAATAAATGCAACAAAAAGAATCAATAACACAACCATGATGAACAAAATATCAAAGTTTTAAATGAAGATGGCATCCTTGTGACTGATTTTCCTTTTTGTCCCCAGGATCCAATACAGCTCATCACAACCCTGATCCTGTCTTTACTTGAAGTTTTTTTTTTTTTTTTAAGATTTATTTATTTATTTTATTTGAGAGACACAGAGAGAGAACACAAGGGAGAGGGAGAAGCAGACTCCCCACTGAGCGGGGAGCCTGATGCAGGACTCGATCCCGGGACTCCAGGATCATCACCTGAGCCGAAGGCAGTCGCTTAACCAACTGAGCCACCCAGGCGCCCCAAACACCGCTTTTAAATAGTTCCTTTTATGTTATGTGACTTTAACATCCATAAAATATTTAATAAAAATCTATATTTAAATATATTATTTATCTTGGTTACTGAGTTTTGTGTAACCTTCTTCACCCAACACACACCCCTACATTTTGCTCTGGATTTGAATCGCAGCCTTGCTCCAGTCAGTCCCTCCCTCTCATGAATCCCAGAGGGAACTTTCTAGTACCTGGATCTGACCTGCTATCCTGTCCCATACCCTGCCTGGTTCAGTACGCCAGTGACCAGTGGCTTTGGAGCTGATCTCTCCAGGCAAAAAGAACTCCGCTTTAGAGACCTTGGAGCCTTCTGCTTCACCTGGCCTCCCAGCCTGCTCTGAGCTTTCTTCCTTCTCTCTCTGCCCTAGAACCTGCCACTTCTTGGGGATTTCGTTCAAGCTGCACTTCCGTGTGATCCGTGAGACTGACTCTCTTCTGCAGCCCCACAGCCCCAGCCCCAGCTCACCCCTGAGCCAGCCTCCTCCCTGGGGACTCTGCTCTCCTCGCAAGGAAGGCCCTGCCTCACACTGGGGCGGATCTTCCCAACACTCGGATGGGCGACTCTTCTTGTCACCAAAAGGCACAAACGCTCAGAGTCCTGTAATGACCTTCCTATGAGCAGCTCCAGGCAGGGATAGTCATCCAGGAAACTCTCCAAAGCAGGGTCAGAGCTGCCCCTTGAAGACTACCTCCATCCTCCTGCGGACTCAGGGACCCAGTCTGTTTCATTCTCTCTCCTACACTCTGTCTCCCTCTGTCCCTCTCCCTTCCTCTCACCCGTCCTCCCTCTACACACACACATTCTCTCTCTCTCTCTCCTCCAACCGCTGCAATCTGGAAGAAATTACTCTTCTAAACAACCAGACTTCCCCAGCTTCAGGAAATTCCAAGCTGGGCAGGGGGAGGGGCCGGGCTGGGGGGCGCGCCCTGGCCATCCCCCACCCCTTCTGCGTGTCCTCTGTGCACACCCAGTCCGGGCCTCGTCCCGCCCCCACACTCTGCCCGGAGGCCTCAGCTTTTCCACCGCTGCTTTCGAGTCCTTTAAATCCTAGAGGCAAACTTTTGGGGGATAAGGAAGGCTTGGGAGGGGCCTGCGCCTTAACCCTCTCTGCCCCAGACGGACTGAGCTGGCCTGGTCGGTGACTCCGCGGCCCGTTTGGGTTCCTACCATGGCCCCCGAGAGGGGCTGACACTTCGGTCCCCGGTGCAGGTAAAGAAGAGACCCGATGCCAGGACCTGCCAGGGGTGGGGCCCGGGCTCCTGGGTCTGAGGCCTGGACCCCAGGGCCTGAGGGAGGGGGTCTTGGGAACCTCTGACTCCTGGGTCTGAACAGTAAGAAAGGTAGGAGGCAGGACTCCTGGGACCTGAGGGGGGGAGGGGGGGAATGTCCTGAGGAGGCGGCACTGTCGACCCGGGCGCCTGGGTCCTGGACCCCCCTCCAGGTTCCGCATGATACTTCCTTTGCCAGGTGAGAACCGCCCGGAGGAAGAAGGAAGAAGGCCTCGGAGGCGGAGGTGGGCTCCGAACCAAGGAGGGGGGGGTCCCCCAGTCTAAGCCTGAGAGCGCGCCTGCCCCACTCAGCGAGGACCAAGAGGTAAGGGGCCGCGGGGAGCCGGGCCCCGGGGTCCCGGGTCAGGTCCGGAGGGACGCGGGACAGACGGGCAAAGGGACCGCGGGCGCTCAAGTCCGGGAGGCAGCCACGTGGCCCGAGGAAGTGCGGCGAGCCCACGGGCGGGGGTCTCCCCCTCCCGGGCCCCGCTCCGCCCACCTCGCCGCCTCCCCCCAGAGCCGAGAACCGGTCGGGCCGGGTGTGGAGCGGGCGGTTATTTCCGTCTTGGCGGGGCTGGGGCCGGAGAGGACAGAGGTGAACCAGCTGTGCCCTCCGCTCCCGCAGCTGGGGCGGAGGGAGGCAGGAGGAGCGCGGCTCCGCCGAGCCTCGAGTCGCAGGGCTAGGGCCCCTCGGGGTCCCGCCCTCGCTCCTGCACGCTCTGCCCCTTGGGCGTTTGTCACTAACAACAGCCCCTCTGTAGGAGCCCTGGCCGGCTGAGGGGGTTTTTTCCTAGCATGACCTCATTGCAACAACTCTGCTAGAGGGAGGTTAGAGCCCTCTATTTAAGAGGACCCTGACGTTCGAGTCACTCCGAAGTGGAGTGACTTGCCCGAGGCCCTCAGAGCTGGCAAGAAGAGGCCGCACTCAGAAACGATTTCTAACTCATTATTCTCTGTCTGGGATGGAAAAAAGGAAAGAAACGCAAACAAACATGGTCAGGGGTGTAGGAAATCCCTGGATATGGAAACATTGTTTCCATGGGGATGCACACCCACCCACCCTATCCAAGGGGGCTATGAACAATAGGATATCATCTTTAGACTCTCATCAGGTTTAGACTCTGCCTGGTTTCCAAAACCAGCCCCCAACATTTATTGCTGTGTGACCCAGGGCAACTTACTCTACCTCTCTGTGCCTCAGCCACCACCTCTGTAAAGCTGAGTCGTTCTGAGGATTGAATGAATTTGTTTATTTGAGTAACGCACTTAGGTCCCCTACCTGGCCCAGAATACGTGCTTAGGACATACAACATCAGCATCGTGACTACACTTCACAAGTACCCCTAGCAAACAGGCATTCTGACTCCGTTTTTCAGTGGACTAAACTGAGGTTTAAGGTTGAGGAAGTGAGTTCAGGGTCCCACGGAAAGGAAATGGCAGGTGTGTTTGGCCAGGCACTGGAAAATGGCAGTGGCATTGTGGCGTTGGTGCCCTGGTAGGGCAACAGAAGGATGGGATGAGGGACAAACTAGGGTATGGGCAGGGAGAAGAGCCAAGTGGCAGAGAGCTGTCAGGGAGGGGTCAGTTCAAGAGGCAGCAGGCAGTGGAAGTGCTAAGTCTAGGCTCCAGGGTCCCACAGAACTGGCTTTGTGACCTTGGGCAAGTCACATACCCTCTCTGAGTGTGTCCTTCTCTGGGACATGGGAGAATGATCCCAGGTGGCCACTGAGCATTCCATTGAACTTTTGCTGTGTCCTGGGTATTGCCAAGACTTTACTGGCAACATCCGACCAATCTTGCAGAGACTAGGAAGTGTTACAGGAACATCCTATATTCCTATGTTCCATTTTGGAGAGGAGGAAATGAAGTCAAAAAGGTTAAGTAGCTTGCCCAAAGCCACACACACACACACACACACACACACAACCAGATGGAAACCTAGGCATTTGGCTGAGTTGTGTTCTTTTCACCTGCAACTCACTGCAGAGTAAGGCCGGGCACTGCTAGCACGGAGAGAGCGTTGTTTTTTGTTTTTGTTTTTGTTTTTCTTTTTTTAAACTGTGGATTGAGATTTATTAATGAGCAGAGGTAAGCATTTAAAAAAAATAAAATAGATTAGAATTGAAAATATCTGAGTGCCTAGCATGTTGTAAGTCTTGTTTCATAAAATGTTTGTTTCCCTTGGGGGGTGGTGTGGAGAGGAGAGGTGATTGTGTGTCACGTTGCCGTTAAAATATATTTATTCATCTAGGCTGAGGTCAGAGAAGTTTGAGAAACACTACAGAGGTGGTAAATCAAGACTGGTTTTCCCAGAGAAATAAATATAAAGTGTGTGTGTGTGTGTGTGTGTGTGTGTGTGTTGGGATAGGGTAAAGGGCGATCCTCAGAACACATCCAACTATAATTATTTTAAATCCTCTTAGCTTTAATTTTTCTCTACATTATCAGTGATATTTCCCAGGGTGCTAGTTACTAAAAGAATAGTGCTGGCTGCTTTGACTTTTTCATAGGATTTTATCAAATCTTGATCTTGTTCTATAGTTATTTGAGGAAACATCCTCCCCTCCCCCCGCCCCCAGCACTAGCACTACTAATTAGCTGGCACTATTACAAATATAGTTGTCTTTAATTGAGATTTTCTATGTGCCCTGCAAGGAAGGTAGTGTTATTTTATCCATTTTACAGAGAGGAAACAGACATAGAGAAACCACATAATTTATCCCAATCATACAGCTGGCAAAGAAAGGGTGGGGCTTCAGTTCAAACAGAAAGATTTTTTTTTATTATTATGATAACAGTGACTGTTAAAACAAAAGTACAAGGTCATCAAAGTCCTTCCCAGAAGTTCCATAAAAACAGCCAGGTTCCAGGATATAGGCAAATGTTGGCAATTTACCGTATTTACCGTAGAAGCCAGGGCAGCTATGAGACAATTGCACACCAAGTTTATAGGGGACTAGCTGTCAGTCTCAAATTTATGCCACTCTTGCTATTTTTAGAGAAATAAATAGAAAAATTTGCAAAAAAACCAAAAAAACAAAAAAACCCCACATTATATTGTCCCTTTCAAAAGCAAATAACTCGAATTATTAAATGTTGTACAAGTCTATAGATGCCCAGGCCCACCCTGAACCTGAATTTGAGGTTTTAGGCAGACCTGCATTATGACTTGTGTGTGCCCTAGGCAAAGCTTGCATGCATACATATTTATTTATATTTTATGACTGTGTTGGTCAAAGACAGACATAATCCACACATTTTAAAATAAGTTAAAACCCTGTAACATTTTGGGGGGCCTCTAGAAGTGCGGTGGGCCCTAGGCACTTGGTGGACAAAGTCAGCCCTGTCTTCAGGGAAGGGGCCTCGGAGAAGCTGCAGTTTCTCTGCCAAGCTTAGGAGACACTTGGAAGAGTTGGTGAAGCATGTTGCCTGTTGCCCGGCCGGTAGGAGGACTGTGATACTAGTTCTTAGTGGCATCAGCATGGCGCGCGGTGGTCACGGGCGGACCTAAATTGCAGTCTGTGACTTAGGGCCTCCGCAGACGCCGTTTCCCGCCACCATCTGCCGTCCTGTCGTTTGGGAGAGCATCCTCTGAACCGCTGTCTAGGCCCAGGGTGGGGACGTGGGCTGGGTCGCCCCCCCCGGGCGGAGGCGGCGCTGACCCGTCCCCACCCCGACCCCATCCCCGCAGATGCCGGTTCTGAAGCAGCTGGGCCCCGCGCAGCCCAAGAAGCGGCCGGAGCGCGGCGCCCTGTCCATCTCCGCGCCGCTCGGCGACTTCCGGCACACGCTGCACGTGGGGCGCGGCGGCGACGCCTTCGGGGACACTTCGTTCCTGAGCCGTCACGGCGGCGGGCCGCCTCCCGAGCCCCGGGCGCCGCCCGCCGGGGCCCCGCGCTCCGCGCCGCCGCCCGCCGTGCCGCAGCCCCCGCCGCCTGCCCTCCGCGCGCCCGCGCCCGCCGACCCGCTGCTGTCCTTCCACCTGGATTTGGGCCCCTCCATGCTGGACGCGGTGCTGGGCGTCATGGACGCGGAGCGCCCGGGGGCCGCTGCCGCCAAGCCCGATTTGGACCCCAGCTCCGGGGCACAGCCCTCCAGGGCCCACTGCCGCCCCAACGCGGATCTCGAGCTGGACGACGTCATCGGCCTGTAGGCACCCCTGTTTCCGATGCGTTTACCGTCCGGCATCCTACTTCTTTACACATAAACGGCTAAGGTCTTTGCCCCGAGTTCTGTCTCTTCACTTTGCACGTGGGAAGGGAAGACGGGGTGGAGGGGCAAGCGGGATCGGTGATGGGGTCCCGGCGCCTTTAAGGACCAGGTGTGTATCACCTGTAGCTCTTTCCCCGCAGAGACTGGACGAAGGTCGAGATCGGACGGTGGGCCTGGTGTGGTGGGATGTGGCCCCTTTAACTGCGGGGGGCGTGGTTACACGGTGCCCCTTTCAGGGGCGGTGTCCCAACGTGGCCGCTTCACAGCCACATTCATTCATCAATTTTGACAGAGCGCCTGGCCTGCCAGACCTGGCCCAAGGCCCGGCCTGACTTGCTCCCGGGGGCCCACTGACGCACTCTAGGGGGGCCACCTAACTCGCTCCCGGGGGGGGTCTCGGCCTGATTCGCTGCAGGGGACCCGCTGACGCTCCCGGGGTCCGGCCTGACTCGCTGCAGGGGGTCCGCTGACTCGATCCCGGGGTCCACGTGACTCGATCCCGGGGGCCCACTGACTCATTTTAGGGGGGCCCACCTGACTCGCTCCCGGGGGGGGTCTCGGCCTGACTCGCTGCAGAGGGTCCGCTGACTCGATCCCGGGGACCCGGCCTGACTTGCTCCCGGGGGCCCACTGACTCACTTTAGGGGGGCCCACCTGACTCGCTCCCGGGGGGGGTCTCGGCCTGACTCGCTGCAGGGGACCCGCTGACGCTCCCGGGGTCCGGCCTGACTCGCTGCAGGGGGTCCGCTGACTCGATCCCGGGGTCCACGTGACTCGATCCCGGGGGCCCGGCCTGACTTGCTCTCGGGCGCCCACTGACTCACTTTAGGGGGGCCCACCTCACTCGCTCCCGGGGGGGGGGCTCGGCCTGACTCGCTGCAGGGGACCCGCTGACGCTCCCGGGGTCCGGCCTGACTCGCTGCAGGGGGTCCGCTGACTCGATCCCGGGGTCCACGTGACTCGATCCCGGGGCCCGGCCTGACTTGCTCCCGGGGGCCCACCTGACTCGCTCCTGGGGGGGGGTCTCGGCCTGACTCGCTGCAGGGGACCCGCTGACGCTCCCGGGGCCCGGCCTGACTTGCTCCCGGGCGCCCACTGACGCACTCTAGGGGGGCCCACCTGACTCGCTCCCGGGGAGGGGCTCGGCCTGACTCGCTGCAGGGGACCCGCTGACGCTCCCGGGGTCCGGCCTGACTCGCTGCAGGGGGTCCGCCGACTCGATCCCGGGGCCACGTGACTCGCTCCAGGGGGCTGGCTAGATTCGCTCCCTGAGGCCCAGTGCAGTGGCTCCGGGAGCCTGACTCCGGCCCGCGTATCCAGTGAACCCCTCGAGGCGAGCTGCCCTTACCCTGTGAGCGGCCGCGCAGGAAAGTGGTTGGGAAGAGGCAGGGTCCCGGTGGGGGAGTCACACCCCCCTCGGAAAGGTGTGTCGGCCCGAGGGGGGCAGCGGCGTCCCAAGTCAGGGCTACCTAGTTTGCGCCCTGCTGGGGTACAGTTGTCCGGCCGAGGGCACGACCCACAAGGGGCGGGAGGGCGGGGCAGCACGTGCCAACCTTTAGGCGAGGGGCGGGATCACCCCTAGGTAAGGGCGGAGCCAGCCCAGCGAAGAACCTGGAGGAGGCGGGGCCGTACACGCGGAGCGTAGCCGAGGGCGGCCCAAAAGGGCGTGGTCGCACCTGTAAAGCTTGTGGACCCGCGGTGGGGCGGGTCCGGGTCCTCGAGGGCACTGAGGGAGTCGGTCACCGCGCGGGCGGTGCCCGTAGGCCCTTTGGACCGAGGAGGGCCACACAGGCGCATGGGCCGCGCAGGCGCGGTCAGGCTCCCCGAGGACACCGTGCGCACGGAGCCGCCCGCCAGGCCGGTGATCGGAGGCGCCGCGAGCGCGCGTGCGCTGCTCCCAGGGCGGCGGGAACGGGGCGCGGCTCCCCCCCACCCCGCTCCCATGGCGGCGGCCCCCGCGGCCGAGCCCGCGGCGCCGCCGGCCTGCCGCTTCTTCCTGGAGGGCCGCTGCCGCTTCGGCGCCCGCTGCCGCCAGCCCCACCCGGGGGCGCCGGCGCCGTCTCGGCGCGGGGCCGGGGCCAAGAAGCCGCCGCTGCGCACGGCCGCCGCCGTCATCCAGCGCATCCGCTGGGACCCGCGCCTCGACCCGGCCGACTTCTCGGTGGGCTACGCCGACCGCTTCCTCGGCGTGCGCGAGGAGCCCTTCGGCGCCTTCTGCTGGGACGAGCCGCTGGCGGCGCTTGGGCCCGGAGTCCTGGCCGTGCCGCAGCACCGGGTGCGCCACTTCCGCTTCCGCGGCCGCATCGTGTGGGACCGCGCGTCGCGCACCGACCTCGTCTTCGGCTCGGGCTCGGCGGCGGGCCGCGGGCCCACCATCCTGGACGCGCTGGGCGGCGGGGACGCGCGTGACGGACGTGAGGACGCGCACGACGGGGCAGACGCGCATGGCGGCGAGGACGCGCTGGGCGGCGGGGGCGCGCGCGGCGGCGGCGAGGACGCGCACGACGGGGCAGACGCGCGCGGCGGCGGGGGCGCGCGCAGCGCTGAGGACGCCCACGGCGGAGGGGTCGCCGCCGCTCCCGCTGACACCGGAAGCGGGCTGGAGGCCAGGGAGCGGCGCAGGGCCGAAGGCCAGGCTTCCCCGTGGACAGCGCTGGAAAGGGTGCTGAAGCCGGCCGCCACGGGCAGGGCCACGGAGCCACACAGTGGGGCGGCACAGGCAGCGCCGGGACGAACCCCCGCTCGAGGTTTTCCCGAGACGGAAGCAGAGTGGGGTCCCGGCGCCTGGCCCTCGGAAGGCAGAGGGACGGCTGGAGCCGGGGCCGCGGCGCCCCGCCAGCCCCGCCCCACGCACTTTGTGGCTCTCATGGTGACTGATCCCGGGCTGCAGGCGGGGGTGGCCAAGGCCCAGGAAGAGCTGGTTCGAGCCGCACCCTCGTGTGCTGCGTTCGTGGTACCCGCGGGGGCCCTACACCTGACACTAGCCCTCCTGAGGCTGACAGGCCCCGGGGAGGTAGCCGCCGCAGTGGGTGCACTAAGACGCGCGCTCCTGGCCCCAGGACTTCAGGCACCCCGGCAGCTGAGCTTTAGGAGCCTGCTCCTCCTGGGGCAGCATGTGCTCTGTGCCCCCCCCTCCCCCTCCCTGGAAGATACGGCCCAAGTGCTGAGACAGAGGCTGGAAGCCGAGGGGCTCAGAGTAGTACAGCCCCTGGAGGGGCTACACCCCCACCTCACCCTAGCCAAGGTGCCCCACGGATCTCAAGTCGGCCTCCCGCAGCCTGGGTTCAGCCCAAGGCAGGAGCTGGGGAGCCAGACCCTAGGGGAAGTCTGGCTGTGCCGCATAGGCAGGGCAGGGGACACCTACCAGCCTCTGGCTGAGCTGCCCCTGGGATGACGGTCCCCCCAGACCTCTGCAGGAGACCGCGCTCAACCCCGAAGAACCTGGGAAGATCCAGGCCAAGCAGGAAGGGACAAAGTGCTCTCTCTCTCTCTCTCTTTAATTTTGGTTTCTCTCAAGCTTCCAAATGGTGCTCAGTGATCCAAGGAAAGAATGAAGGAAGGAGAAGGGAGGGGGAGAGGGAAGGGAGGGAAGCAAAGGAGGAACATCTGGAAAAAAAGCAGCCTGACAGTCCAGCTGTTTGCCAACTCATCGCACATCCTCCAGTTACATGGCAGAAGGGGGGGGGGCAAAAAGAAAAAGGGGAGGAAGAAAAATAACTTAAATAAACACACACAAAAAGAAAAGAGAAGGAAACATGACGTGAGCTGGTGATCCATGAAGGCAAGGGAGGGAGGGTAACCGTTTTACCTGTGCTGAACCAAAGAAGGGCGGGAAGCAGGAGGAGGAGGGAGGGAAGGAAAAAAAAAACAGAAGAAACACGGGGGTGGAGGGAGGAGGGACACGGAGACAACTTAATACAACTGCGGACGAGGCGGCCCGGCCGAGGTCCCGCGATGGCCTCCGGAGTCCTCAGTGCGCAGTGTCGGCGTGGACGTGGTGGCGGCTTGGCGGCGGCATTTCTGGCGTGGGGGGCTGAGGGCGGGGCACAGTCTCTACACGGCTCCCCTAGCCCCGAACACTGAGGCCCCGGAGGGCTGGGCAACAAGAGTCTGTGGTGAGGCGGGCGGGTGGCGGGTGGCGGGCTGCGTGCTGGTGCCCCCGCCGGGGCGGGCACGGGCGGAGCGGCCTGTCTTCTTCTGGCCCCCCCGGCATGGGATGGGCCAGGGTGCCAGGTCGGTACCGGAGTACAAGCTCGAGAGAGAGAGAGAGAAAACACTGAGACAGCATTAGTGGGGGTGCCAGCTGGACACAGAGCAGCCTACAGACCACGCCCCCAACCCTCTGCTGTCCCACCCCCTCCTCCCCCAATCCCGTCCCTCTGAGGCAAAAAATAAAAATGTAGAAAAAATCTCTGTACAGACTCCCCGGTACGAAAACGGGGACAGGGATGGTGGCTCTTCCTGGAGCCCGCTCCCCACGAACTAATTTACAACCCAAGTCCATGGCTCAAAAACACAATCGGCCAAGGTGGCGCTGGGGGCCGCAGCCCTGCCCCCACCCCGCCCCCATCCGCGCTGGTGCTCAGAAGGCTGACAGCTGCACCAGGCTGAGGCGGCAGTCGACGCTGGCGTTGTCCGGGCCCGTGTAGGCCAGGCCCAGGGGCTCTAGGAAGGCCCGGCAGGCGGCCTCGCCCTCGAAGGCCAGCTCGGCCTGCAGGTAGGAGACTGGCAGCGCAGGGCGGAAGCTACGGAGACAAGAGGAGAATGTGATGAGGCGGGCGGCGGGCAGGGAGTGGGTGCCCCCCCTTAGGGCACCCAAAGGGTTTCCTCAGCACGTTACCTGACCTCTTAGCCCTCCCCGCCCAGCCTCCCCACCTCCAGGGCTTGGGGGGGCCCGGGGTGGGGCTGGTGGCCCCAGCCCCGGCTGTGCCGCCCTTCACCCTCACTTACCTGTACGGGGGGACCAAGGAGAGGGGATGGGAGGGAAGGGCCCAGCTGGCTCTTCCGCTGCTCAAGGGCCTGAGCAGTCCCTCAGAAGAGGGCCCGCTGTGGCCCAAGGGCAGGGGGCCAGGCAGAGGGAGTGACCCGAGGGGATGGGGGTGGGCATGGGTTGGCAGGTCTGACAGCTACTCTGGGGGACCCACCCTGGCTGTGCCCCCTGCCTGGGTCAAAGTGCCTCAGGAATGGCCGGCACAGGGTCAGCCAACGCCTGTTACACGCTGGCAACAGTCACTTGCAGTTGCTAAGAAGACTCGCGTGTGCTGGCAACTGGCTGTTAACCTGCTGAATTCTCTCCCAGAAAGTGCGTCCCCCTACCCTTTAGAAACAGACGCTGAGGGAACCGAGCTCCACAGGCAAAGCCACCTGGCCGGCATCACACAGGGAGGATGCCGCACAAAGGACGTGACCCAGTCCTGCCTCGAGCCCGCGCTCCATCACAGCTCTGGATATCCACGGGAGCACGAGAGAGCCTATTTCTCCCCACGAGGGAGCTGGCCTCCTGGCCACCCTGCAAAAACCTGTTCTGGGGGCTCTGGGAGGGAGGGGCCCGTCTGCTAAGGACGGGGGGAAAGAGAGCGGGTGGCCAGTGTAGGCCAAGGCCCCTCCGACAAGGCACCTTCACGGCGGCGGCCCCAACCAAGACCCAGCACATATGAACTAACCACAACAGTGACCGGCCCACACGACACCCCTGGGAGCCACACAGAAGCTTGGGAGCCGCTATCCCGCTGCGGAGGGCAGACTCCGGGACAGCCCACGGGGCCTTTAGACAGCCCACCTCCCTGTCTCTCCCAGGTAGATAACCAGGTCCTGTGTATCCTGTCGCCTTCATGTTTCTGTCCCACATCCTTGTCTACTTCTGCGGCCCCGGCCCTGGCTCAGCCTCTGCCTTAAATCTGGACCCAAATCGGATCCTGGAGTGTGTTTCCTAACTTCAGTGTGACGGTCCCTCCCCAGTCCGACACCATTCCTGTGGCTCCTAAGCTAACTGATGTGGCCCCTTGGACCTACCAACCTCTGACTGAGGGTTCTCAACCTTGGCAAGACTGACACCGGGGCCGCTTCTCTGTTGTGGGGCGTCCTGGGCCCTGCAGGAGGCTGAGCAGCATCCCTAGCCTCTACCCACTGGACACCAGCAGCAGCCCCTACTTGTGCCAACAAAAGAGGTCACCCGACCCCTCCTTACGTCACCCGGGGCATCTCACCCCCGGCAGAACCACAAGTTGCCCACCATGCACGCGCGCGCAACACAGGGAACAACTAACGTACAGAGAGCTTACTCTTTTTACACACAGTCCCTGATCTGGCTTGTGCCCACATCACACCTGCCTCCCTACGTGTTTTCTATCCTCTTAAAGCAGCTCGAGTTGGAATGGGGTCTTGGTCCCGTTCGATCAGAAGCTACCAAGAGCACAGCCATCTTTCCTAGTTTGTCTCTACCGAGTGGGACTCAGTGTCAGGAGAGCCGTGAAAGGTGAACAGAGACCGAGGGAGGAAACCAAGAGCCCAGAGCAAGAAAACAAACCAGGGTCCAGGGTGACGCGAGCAGGAGAAAGAGAGACTCGGGGGTGGAGAGAGAACCCTGGAGCAGTGAGACAGATTGGGGAAGAAGGGAGATGCAGAGGCAGGCCTAGGGAGACAGAGGGCCAACAGTGGGAAGGGAAGCGGGAGGGGCTGGGGAGCAGGGTACGTGTAGAAAGAAGACATGGGGACAGAGGACCAGTGTCCAGGGCACGGGAGCTGGAAGCCGGACAGCCCACGAGTGTGCAGAGGGAGGAGGGAAGTGGGGAAGGAAGGCAGCGGCGGGGCCGGCAGAGCAGAGGGGGCAGGGGAGAACCCAGCTTCACATACGTTTTGATCATCGCCTTGAGGGCAGCTTTGCGCTCCCGGTCTGCAAACTTGTCCACCAGGTACCCAGACATGCAGGGTGCATGACAGTAGAGCCGGAAGAAGCGGTGGTAGTTGCCCAGAGCCCAGGCCGCCCTCAGTGCCAAGGCGTGAGCCACACAGGGGTCTGCCTTCAGTTCCCGAGTCAGGTACGCCAGCTCCGTGGTGATGTCTGCAGCCCGAGACAGAAGAGGATCAGTACCGCCCAACCCCGGGGGCCTGGGGCCACCCCGTCCCGCAGGCACCTCCCTCACCTCCTGAGTTCTTGGTGAAGATGTAGTAGAGGACGCGGTAAGCAGTGAACTCGCCCACGTTGCCTGGCAGGTTCTCGGCGTACAGCGACTTGAGCTGCGTCTGGCACTGGTTGAACTCCTCATGGTCGCCCTGGAGCCCGGGGCACGGAGAGAGAGACCGTGAGGCCGGGACGGGGAGCCCAGGAAGAACCCGGAAGGGCCTCAGCACCGCACTCACCTTCTCCAAGGCGATGCGGGCGTGCGTCTCGTACACCTCCACCGTGAACTCCGTCCGCACACCTTGCACCTGGAACGGCAGGAGAGCAGTGAGGCCACCGCAGGGCGGGGCTCTCCCACCACAGGCCCTCCCAGCAGCCCCCTCACCGTCAGGTCCTGCCGAATCGACTTCATCTGCTCGCAGGCAAAGGCGTAGTCTTGCTTCTCTTTCCAGTGGGACTTGACCATGCACAGAGACTTTTTCAAAACCTGGGAAGGAAACCAAACGATGGCTCAGAAAAATTTCAGCAGAGTGAGTGAAGCCATCGCTAAAACCCACTACACCTCCCCCAACTCAGCATTCTAACATGAAGGCGGCAACATCAGACTCGTTTCATAACTTAACTACCGACTTTAAAAAGAACCCGACACATTTGGCAAGAGTAACCACTCCCGACCTCAGCTGCCCACGTCAGTGTGTCCCCTGGGACGGAACATGAACCACGCTGCTGCTGGCCTCAGCAAAGGACACGGGAGCCTGATCGTCCCCGCCTCAGACAAGCTGGCCTGGGAAGGCCGCTTCCTGAGGAGATGGAGGCTCAGAGCAAGTCTCCCGATGAGGCCACACGACCCGGACTTAGTCTTCAAAACACAAGTTCTGTCCTCAAGTCACCTCTCACAGAGCTCCCAGGCCCCTGCCACCACACCACAGCCTCGGGTGCAGTCTCTGCCATCCTTCCCGTGTGGTTGCCACGGCCTCGTGCTAGCAGCTGCCCTGCAGGGAGGACCTGCCCATTCCAGGCACTTACTGCCACAGGGCGCACAGTGGATGGGTCGGGGGCGCAGGTGAGACGCAGGTAGTGCTTGGTGATGTCAGGGCAGGTGCCCACGATCTGAAGTTCCTGCCAGTCTGGGTCAGCACCACTGCTCTCCAGGCTGCCCATCTGCAGCACCAGGGGCTCGAGGCGCAGGCGGCGGGAATGTCCGTGCTGGAAGCGGGCCGCCCGCTTCTGCTTCTTCAGCTCACGCTCAGGGTCCTCGCACTCTAGTGCGGCCATCTTTTTGCGGCTGCGCTTGGTGGGACCGAGATCATGCCTGAAAAAGGAGGTCAGGGGTGAACAAGGCAGATGTCACAGCCTGCCCCTCCCACCGCTCCCCAAGAGCCCCGATCTCAGCCCCACCCCCCTGGCCACCCGCCCAGAGTCTCACCTCTTCCCACGCTGTGCCCTGCCTCGGCCCCGGTCCATGTGGGCCCCCCGACCTCCTCGGCCCTTCGCGGGGGGGTTCCTGCGACCCACAGGGTGACACTCATTCCCTGAGTAAGAACTGTCTGAATCCGAGTGGGAGTCACTGCACAGAAGCAGCAGGGAGGTAAGGCCTGAAGCGGCCCCTCCCCCCACGCCCTCCCCCCACCCCAAGCCCCCAGTCCCTGTACCTGCGGCGGAAGTGGCGAGTGGGGGACCGGGAGGAGGAACGGGAGCGGGAGTCCGTGCTGGAGGAAGAGCTGTTGTCCTTCATGAAGACATTGCGGTTGCCAAACTTGGCGAAGCTGCTGCCCCGGGCTCGGCCAGCACCCCCAGCCCCTGGTGTCCCTCGCTGGGACTGGGCACCCCCGCCCCTTGTCGCTGAGCCTGCCCCCCTGGGAGGATGAAGGCTGCTAGGGGCCTCCCACCGCTTCTTCTTGGGGCTCTCAGCCACAGGCTCCCGAGTCAGCCTGAGGATATAGCAGGGCAGGGCATCACCAACCCAGCGCCCCCACCATCCCCAACATCTGCCAGCCGCCCCAGGAACACACAGCCTCAGGCAGGAAAGGAACTTACCCAGGCGACTCAGCTAATACACTGCAAAAATGGGAGGCAAACCCAACGTTTTCTCTGTCTAGAGAGTGCTCTTCGCAGCTGAATACTGTGCACTCGCCAGCCTTCACGGCCTGCACCCCACCCCAGGACTGCACCCCCAGGCAGCGCCTGGACCTCTGCTCTACCCTCCTGGCCTTTCCCCCCGCCGGAGCTAACCTTCCTGCTCATTCTCGGGGCTTCAGGTACCTAAGTCTGTAGGTCTCCACTTCAGCACCCAGAATCGCCCTCCTCCCCATCCCCAGCCTGGACTAACCCTGGCAGGGGTTCCCGGCTCCAGTCAATGGTGTAGGCCGAACCGTCCTGCAGCCGGGCCTGCAGCAGCTCCTTGAGCAGCTTCTCCGTCCGGTCCTTGTCCTCCTCCGACTCGCAGGCAGTGAAGCAGCGCTCCACATACTCCTTCATGTCCTGCGGCCAATCGTCAGGCTTCCCGGACAGGCTCCCCCTAGAGAGGGCAGATGTGGGACTCAGCCGGCAGAAAAGCCCGTCATCGCTACTGCTCACAGAGCAGACACGCGCCGGACACAACTCGAGCGTCTTCTTTTATCCCCCTCATTTCGTGTCCACGGCAACCCTGAGGGAGGGACCCCTCCCCATTCTGGAGGAGCAGACTGAGGCTCGGGGTGCAGGCTGACTGCACAGGCAAGGGAGCTGGGACAAGAGCAACGGGACGGCCATCACCTGTGGTTCTGGGCTTTCTCGGGGTTGGGCTGGGGGCCGAAGCTGCTGTGCTGGCCCTCTGAGGGGGAGCTGAAGCTCTGGCTGGTGACAGCAAAGGGCCGTTTCTGGATGTTGAACTTGAGACCACCAGTCCCAGGGGCTGCTGTGAGAGCCGCAAAAGCTGGGGTTAGACCTTACCCTGGCCCACCTCAGGCTGCCCTATCCCCAGGAATGGGAGACGCCAAGCTCCAGCAAAGGGCTCCAGGGCAGGTGCACCCTAAGCCTAGGGATGACCACGATATCCAGAAGCACCCCACGCTTGGCTCTGTAAGGTCCAGCCCCCACGCCCTCTCTTCTTCCCAAGTCTACCGCCAACTTACGCTTCATCCGGTTCCACAGCTGTTGGCCCTTCTTGGGCTTGGCAGGCTCGGAGTAGGTGTGTGGCCCATAGGCCTGGCCCGAGGCAGGCCCTGCTTGGCTGTGCTGTGTGGCTGGGGCTGTTCCAGGCTGGGGGCCGCTGTTCAGAGTATGAGCCCCATGCGGGGCGTTGGAGGGCTGAGGGGGCTGGGCTGCCGGCAGCTGCTGAGGGGGGGCCTGGTAGGACATACTTTCTTCCATGCCAGGGACTGGGGGCTGGTGGAGGAAGCAGGCGCTGAGGACAGGAGTAGAGCTCCCTGTGCTGGCTCTCACACTGTCCTCACGATCATGGCATCACTTAGCTCCCAACCCCGCACCGAGACCCTCCCACGTCTCATTGCCCTGGGCGCTCAGAGCGACTCCCTGAGGAACGGAGAGTTACTGCCCACACTCTTCACAGCTCAGAGGACTCCGGCTCAGACCCTGAGCTGCTCTCCCATGGCCCCCAGCTGCCGGGCGGCAGCAGTGGGCATTAAACCCTGCCGTCCACCTCCTAGGGAGTGCGGCCCCAACAGTGCACCCAGCCGGGGTTACTGTCTGAGCACATCGTGCGTGCCAATCGAGACCCACACGTGATTACACACGTTCTCAGGGGCCCTGTGAAGTGATGATCCTTCCCACTTGACAGGACTGGCTGAGATGCAGAGAGATCACGTGACTTGTAATGACACCACTTGATGGGAAGCTGGGATCCCAGCCCAGATCTATCCACCTTCCCTGCACCAGCTCCACACTCCTCCACACAGCACGCTAAGTGCAAGGCCAAACTGCGTGTGTGATGGTGCATGTATGTGTGCATGTGCTGGGGGAAAACTCAGAAGACAGCTGCCATGCTGCAAACTGCTCCCACTGTCACCCCAACACCGAGCCCCCAGGCCTTGCCCAAGTCCTAAACCCATCCTGGTTTCAAAAGCCATGCTTCGCCCTCCTCGTTATCAGATCAAGAGTCACTCGGCAGGAGAGAAACCAGGGAGTGGGCAGCTTAAAAAATGCAGGCATCCCCACTGCCCGCCCACTCACAAACACTACATTCCCCCTCTTGAACGTGCCACAGAGCTGGCTGGGGGCGTTACCTGGTTCAGAGCCCCCTGGTGCTGGGGTGCCGATGGCTGCTGGGGTGTGGCGGAGCCGTACGAGCTGGCCATGCCATACTGGGAGGGAGAACCGTAGCTCTGGTACATGCTCTGCCAAAGGCACAGAAACGAGGGTCGGTGGAGGCCCAATCCCCTCCCCCTTCTCCTGCCTGCTCAGGAGCCGTACATAACCTGTGATGCTCCACTTCCCCCCACCCCTTTCTATTACTCTCCACTGTGTAAACGCGCCAAATTCTGTTGCGTTAAAAACAACTAAAATGCAATGAAAACCTCTTTCAATTCCATTCTCTATTTAACAAATAGTCATACTGAGCACCAACTTTCCTAAACGCCACAACAGAACCAAAAATAAAACATGAAAATCCACGCGCTACTGAAGTCTACGCTCAAAACGTGCACAGTTGCGGACAGATACAGAGCGGCTCAGGCAGTAAGCTCCGTGAAAGCAAACCGGGGTGCGGCAGAATACGGCTCTAACTAGTCCCGTCGGTCAGAGAAAAGGGCTCCCTGAGGCATGACCTGGGAACCCTCTGCAAGGTGGGGGCGCAGAGAGACAGGGGAGTGGGGAAGGGAGCCACAGCAGAGGGGGACGTCGCAGGGGAGAGGAGTGACCAGCGGCAGAGAAGGCAGGACCTGGACCTGGGAAGGGCTCTCGGCTGGACCACGGGGGCAGCGTGCTAGTGGCCAGTTTCGGAAGCTGCACTGCCGTCTTCAAGCCCTCCCCGGGCCGCTGGAACCCGCCCGCCGGCTCCCACTCCCAGCACCCGCCTCCCACCGGTCCCGGCAGGGCCGGGCGCTCACCATGGGGTAGTAGTAGCTGTACGGGTAGGCGTAGCTGTACTGCTGGTACCACTGGTAATACTGCTGCTGCTGCAGGGCCGAGGCCTCCGCCTGAGCCACGTACTGCGGGGGGAGACGTGTGTGCCGTGAGCACGGCGCCGTGGCCCCCGCTGAGCCATGTACCGCAGACACGTGTGCCGTGCGCACGGTGCCGTGGCCCCGCTGAGCCACGTACTGTGGTGAGAGACACGTGTGCCGTCAGCACGGTGCCGTGGCCCCCGCTGAGCCACATACTGCAGAGACACGTGTGCCGTGAGCACGGTGCCGTGGCCCCGCTGAGCCACGTACTGCGGGGGGAGACGTGTGTGCCGTGAGCACGGCGCCGTGGCCCCCGCTGAGCCATGTACCGCAGACACGTGTGCCGTGCGCACGGTGCCGTGGCCCCGCTGAGCCACGTACTGTGGTGAGAGACACGTGTGCCGTCAGCACGGTGCCGTGGCCCCCGCTGAGCCACATACTGCAGAGACACGTGTGCCGTGAGCACGGTGCCGTGGCCCCGCTGAGCCACGTACTGTGGGGAGAGACACGTGTGCCGTGAGCACGGCGCCATGGCCCCCACTGAGCCACGTACCGCAGACACGTGTGCCGTGAGCACGGCGCCATGGCCCCCACTGAGCCACGTACCGCAGACACGTGTGCCGTGTGCACGGTGCCGTGGCCCCGCTGAGCCAAGTACCGCAGACACGTGTGCCGTGAGCACGGCGTACCACAGAGACACGTGTGCCATGAGCACGGTGCCGTGGCCCCGCTGAGCCACGTACTGCGGGGGGGGAGACACGTGTGCCGTGAGCACGGCGCCGTGGCCCCCGCTGAGCCACATACCACAGACACGTGTGCCGTGCGCACGGTGCCGTGGCCCCGCTGAGCCACGTACTGTGGTGAGAGACACGTGTGCCGTCAACACGGTGCCGTGGCCCCCGCTGAGCCACGTACTGCAGAGACACGTGAGCCATCAGCACAGCGCCGTGGCCCCCGCTGAGCCACATACTGCAGAGACACGTGTGCTGTGAGCACGGTGCCGTGGCCCCCGCTGAGCCACGTACTGTGGTGAGAGACACGTGTGCCGTGAGCACGGTGCCATGGCCCCCGCCTGAGCCACGTACTGCAGAGACACGTGTGCCGTCAGCACTGTGCCGTGGCCCCCGCCTGAGCCACGTACTGCAGAGAGACACGTGAGCCGTCAGCACGGTGCCGTGGCCCCCGCTGAGCCACGTACTGCAGAGACACGTGTGCCGTCAGCACTGGTAGCAGGAGCCCACATACCCTGTGGCCCCCAAATGTGTCTAATTACTGGTGGCTAACTGCTGAGGACACAACTGGGTCCACCTCTCTCCAAGAGTCACAGCCTCTACCCGTGGACTCGGGGCACCTCAGGGACCCAGGGCACATCCCCTCTTCAGGCTGGATTCCCAGGGACAAGGACCATTCCCAGGGACAAGACCCCCCCGTCTGAGGCTCCCAGAAGATCTTCAGGGCACCCTGTCCTTGTGATACCAGAGAACACCAAGCGTCTCCCTCCCCAGCAACCCCCACTCAGGGCACCCAGGTCCTGGGTGCCTGCTCACTTGGGCACTGGCAACAGGCCCATTGCTGCTGGCCTTGGCAGAGCTGCCGGCGGCTCCTGCTTTGCTGATGCTGGCCAGAGCCTGGCGGGCCTTCTCCCACTCTGGGTTCTCACGCATAGGAGCCTCCATGCCGTTCTCTCTGCCTGCCCCGGCCACCATGCTGTACTGAGAAGACCTGCAAAGAAGGGACGTCGAGTCAGTCTTTTCTCCCCCTGTACACAGTGGGCAAAATGCAGACAGGCACATACCAGGACTTGAATCCTAAACTCCCTCCTACTACCTACTGGAGTCTAAATTTTTAAGTCTAGGATATATTTTGATCTATAATATGCTGACAATGGTTTTCTGTCTCACGCCTTCCTGTGAGGAAAAATCCAACTAGAGATAGAGACCTAAGGCACTTTTCCAAGTACCTGATACACAGCAGTTGCTAAATACCAAATGAAAATACCAGGATCCAAAGAAGTTAACATAGCCCCTGGTACCTACTAGGTCTAAATGGTTTATGAGTCAATTCTGACACCCCCCCCCCTCCCCAGCCAGCAGGTTATCATCACTCTGTTTTGGAAAAAAACAAGATATTAACAAATTGATAAATGAGAGTATAAAGTGCTGGAGGCTGTGCCTTAATCACAGTTCATGGAATGAGTCATCCCAATTTTGAGAAATAAGCACTGTACCGTGAAAACAAGATGCTCAGAGATGAAGGAAAACCTGACTGTCCACATTACAACCAAATGCTTCCCTCTGTCCTTGTGGCCAGAGGAGGAGCTCATCCGCACTCCACCCACAAGGAGCGCTAAGGGACCTCCCGTCCCAGAGGACAACAGTGGGTCCTGCTTCCTCTTGCCCTCCCCTCCGGCCTCTGTCCCTCTAGCCACACTAACCAATCTGTGCTACGTTGATCACCCACGTTGGCCGCCATCTGGACCTTGGGGCATAAGGGGTGGACCTCAGGAGCCAGACTGCTTTCTCACTGTCTATGAGAAAAAAAAGGAGTTAGGGAGACTCGAAGAGGAGCAAGAAAAAGTCACAAAGTGGGGAGAGAAGGAGATGAGCTCATGAGAAGCCAGGCAGAAAAGGAGTGTCCGTGAAAGAGGACTCACTGGCGGAATAAAAGAAAAGGGCCTCTGTGTGAGGGGAAGGCCTTCTCCTCCCTGCAGTGCTCTGGGTGCAACAGGAAGGATCTGAAAACGGGGAAGGCTGACGGAATCTCCCAAAGGGGAAGAGAAGGACCTGAAACCCCTAAGAGAAGAGGGAAGGCCCGAGGGAAACCCCGGCACGGAGGGCGGGAGGGGGTGGAGGGACCTCAAGCAAGGGCTACAAAGCATTCCAGAAGGAAAAACAGCTCCGGAGAGGAAGCAGAGCAAAGCTGGTAAAGAGAGAATCTAGAGAGAACTCCAAAGGAAAACAACTCCAGAAGTCACTCCGCGAAACGAGGAGAAGCCCCGAGGGCGCACGGGGAGCCGGGAAGGGAAGACGCGCGCTCTCGGGAAGCTCTCAGGACACTGCGGTTAGAAACAAGCCCCGCGCGCTGGGGGCTCCGGAGACGGAGCGCTGGAGATGCCTCACCCCGTCCAAACCACCTGCCGGAAACGCCGAGTGGGGCGGGGGGCCTGCCAGGAGCGAGGGCTGCCTTGGGGCGTACACCTGGGGGGCTGAGAAGCCTGGGTGGGCTCCGAGGCGCGTCCCCGCCGGAGACCCCGACGGTCCCAAGGCAAGCGAGGGGACGGACAGGAACGCGAGCCTGGAAGACGCCCCGGACACGCGAGCTCGGGAAGGGGCGGGGAGAGGCAGGAGGGGACGAGCGGGGGACAGCGCGGGGGGACAGCGGGCGTGCCTCACGGGCACCGGCGCGAGGGGCACCTGGCCGTCCCGGGAGCCCCGAGAGGGCAGTGGCGCCAGGTGGAAGCAGAGCCCGTCCGGACGCCGGCGACCCGCTCCGGAGTCACCGCCCGGCCGCGCCGCGCGTGGACACCACGGCTCCAGCGGGGAGAACGCGGCTCCGGGGCCGCGCGTCGCCGGGGCAACGCCATCCTCCCGGTGGAACGGCCCGGTCAATGGGGGCTGAGCAGGGGCGCTCGGGACCCGGGGATTCCGAGAGCGGGGGCGGGGAGCCCGGCCGACGGCGCAGGCGCGAGGGCGCGCAGGCGCAGTGGCCGCCCGTGCCCGCCACACCCAGCCGTCGCTCGCGCGCGGCGTCCGTTGCTGCGACGGCCCACCAGGCCTCGGCACCCGCTGGGCGTAGGGCCGGAAGGAGATGCCGTCCCCGCCCGCCCGCCCGCCGCCCCCCACACCCACCTCGGCCGTCCGCCCCCTGGACTCGTCAGCAGCGGCCCAAGGAGACAGCGACACGGCCGCGGAACTGCTCGCGACCGGCTGGTTCTTGTCTTTCTTGGGCTTCGACGTTCTGACCGTGGCGTCCTGACGTCACGCGGAGACCTCGCCCCACCTCCCTCGGCCCCGCACCGCCAATGGGTGCCGCGGGCTTGACTGGGGCCCGCCCTCCGCTTGCGCAAGGACGCGTGGGCTTTTAAGGCAAGCCGGAAGACAGGGTGGGGACGGTGGCCCCGAGGGGACACGCGGCGGAGTCCGCCGGCCCTGTGCCCGAGCGCGCAGCCCTATTTTGGCTCAGTGAGTGGTAGCCATTGTTGCTTCCGGCTACCGGCTGACGCGAGGAGGGTTGTAAGACTCTCTCTGTGCAGCGATGTGGAAGCCCAGGGCAGAGCATGGTGAAGTCGGAGAAAGGGGGTGAGCGCAGCCTCCAGCCGGCAAGGGGAGCTTCCCTGGTACATAAAATTGCAGAGGCGCCCGTGGCAGAGGACGCGGCGCCTGCAAACACACGGAGGCGGGCGACCGGCAGAGCCTGGGGAGCTGGGGACTACGGGGGGACCATGGCTGGGGCAGATGGCTGCGGTGGAGTGGACGTTGCGGGGTCCGGAGTTGAGCGGATAGGTGTGTACAGGTGGGCAGGTGGGGGTCCGGGGCCGAGCGGATAGGTGCGTACAGGAGGGCAGGTGGGGGTCCGGGGCCGAGCGGATAGGTGCGTACAGGAGGGCAGGTGGGGGTCCGGGGCCGAGCGGATAGGTGCGTACAGGAGGGCAGGTGGGGGTCCGGGGCCGAGCGGATAGGTGCGTACAGGAGGGCAGGTGGGGGTCCGGGGCCGAGCGGATAGGTGCGTACAGGAGGGCAGGTGGGGGTCCGGGGCCGAGCGGATAGGTGCGTACAGGAGGGCAGGTGGGGGTCCGGGGCCGAGCGGATAGGTGCGTACAGGAGGGCAGGTGGGGGTCCGGGGCCGAGCGGATAGGTGCGTACAGGAGGGCAGGTGGGGGTCCCGGGCTGAAGGGATAGGTGCGTACAGGAGGGCAGGTGGGGGTCCGGGGCCGAGCGGATAGGTGCGTACAGGAGGGCAGGTGGGGGTCCGGGGCCGAGCGGATAGATGCGTACAGGAGGGCAGGTGGGGGTCCGGGGCCGAGCGGATAGGTGCGTACAGGAGGGCAGGTGGGGGTCCGGGGCCGAGCGGATAGGTGCGTACAGGAGGGCAGGTGGGGGTCCGGGGCCGAGCGGATAGGTGCGTACAGGAGGGCAGGTGGGGGTCCGGGGCCGAGCGGATAGGTGCGTACAGGAGGGCAGGTGGGGGTCCGGGGCCGAGCGGATAGGTGCGTACAGGAGGGCAGGTGGGCGTCCGGGGCCGAGCGGATAGGTGCGTACAGGAGGGCAGGTGGGGGTCCGGGGCCGAGCGGATAGGTGCGTACAGGAGGGCAGGTGGGGGTCCGGGGCCGAGCGGATAGGTGCGTACAGGAGGGCAGGTGGGGGTCCGGGGCCGAGCGGATAGGTGCGTACAGGAGGGCAGGTGGGGGTCCCGGGCTGAAGGGATAGGTGCGTACAGGAGGGCAGGTGGGGGTCCGGGGCCGAGCGGATAGGTGCGTACAGGAGGGCAGGTGGGGGTCCGGGGCCGAGCGGATAGGTGCGTACAGGAGGGCAGGTGGGGGTCCGGGGCCGAGCGGATAGGTGCGTACAGGAGGGCAGGTGGGGGTCCGGGGCCGAGCGGATAGGTGCGTACAGGAGGGCAGGTGGGGGTCCGGGGCCGAGCGGATAGGTGCGTACAGGAGGGCAGGTGGGGGTCCGGGGCCGAGCGGATAGGTGCGTACAGGAGGGCAGGTGGGGGTCCGGGGCCGAGCGGATAGGTGCGTACAGGAGGGCAGGTGGGGGTCCGGGGCCGAGCGGATAGGTGCGTACAGGAGAGCAGGTGGGGGTCCGGGGCCGAGCGGATAGGTGCGTACAGGTGGGCAGGTGAGGGTCCCGGGCTGAAGGGATAGGTCTGGGCAGGTGGCAGCCACTGGAAGTGCACTGGGGCCAGGCTAGGGAATGTGGACCTGGTGGGCAGCAGTGTGCCATGTGTTTCCATCCAGGCTCCTGACAGATGACATGGTCCCGCCCAGCTCAGGAACCGCTCTGTGCAGTCATTGTAGGTGGTAGAATAGTATTTCAGAAGCGATTTTCTTCCACATTAAAAACTTCTAAAACTGTTAGAAACTTTTGTATTGATGACTGAGTATCATTTTGTTAGTTAGCACAGTGGATCTTTTTCTGTCCTTTCATTTAAAAAAGATCACTGCCGGGCCTGTTGGCGGGAAATCAGGTAGCCTGAATCTCAGGGTGCTTTTGGAATATCCCAACACAGCAGCTTCAGCTTGTAGACGAGGACTCAGGGTTGCTAGAGGGCAGTGTTTGAGATCAGCACAGCCAGAATAGCTGCGGGCCGGCCCAGGGTCCGGTGGCCCAGGGTCCGGCAGCCCAGCTAGTCGAAAGGAGAAATTGAGTCAACACTTGGCCCCCAGAGCCCCTCACTGGAAACCGCGGTCGATTTTTCCATCCCAGCTTCAGGCCATTCCACACAGAAAACTTCCTTGAACATTACTTGCAGTGCCGAAGACAGAGACGATTAGGAAGCCCAAGAGCAGCTCCCCAGTGGCAGGCCCCCCTCGAGGGCCTGACATCTGGCACTGCAGGCCACCAAGCCTGACCCGAAACCCTCGTGCACAGTACCTGCACTACTCCGGTGGCGCTTGGAAGTGACCCCATCAGTGTTTCTGGAGGGGGGAGCGTGAGCATTCACACCAGGTGGGGGGAGTAGTCTGTTTTTGCTGCCCGGCGAGTTGAGGGAGACTTGTGGTCTAGGAGAATCTCAGAGGAGGGCCTGGGGAGCTGTCTTACGTGCCCCCGCCAGGGGGTGAATCGGCGGAGCTCCCACAGGTCACATGACTGCCCACGGCCATCTGGTGGTGAGTGGCAGGCAGGGCCCTTAATCGCGGCCTCCCCTGCATTTGTCCACTGTGCTGCCACCGTCTGTCACCCCCAGCTCACCTCTCCTTTCCTAGGCAGTCCCTAAAATCCCGAACCCAAGAGCTGTTGTGTTCCGGAGAGCCCTGCAGTGCGGTGATTTATGGGACTCGGCCTCTCTCCGTGGCCTTCAGCTCAGAGTTCAGCCTGTCCACAGCCCTTGATAGACATCCTGAGATTCCGATGCCTCTGCTTCATCTTCCCCAGAGTATAACAGCCTGGCCAGAGGGTCACACATGAGCAGACTGTCATCACAGCATCGGGAGCTGCGCGCCCCAGCGTCCTCCAGAGCCCAGCCTGGCCAGCGGCGGTTCCAGCACTGTTCTCACTGTGTCGTGGCGCGGGGGGCGGGGAAGGAAAGCATTCCTCCTCGTTTCAGATTGCACTTCCTAGTTGTCAGGCTTTGAACACCCCATTGTCTGTTCCCTGCTGTTGGGGTTTGCGCTTCATCAAATGTGTGTCATAATCGCTTATTTTCAAGTTAAGTGGTCCTTTTCTTAGTGTATGGAAGCTTTGTCGATTATGTTTATGTAGTAATAAAAACACATTCCTCAGCCATAGGTGTGAAAACAGTTTTTCCCTAGACTACCAATTTGCCTTCTGGCTTTACGTTATTGTTCTTAGTTCCACAATTTGTCAAATAAATTACCTTCTCCTTGCCAGCTTTGGGGTATCTTGCTGGAAGTGCTCCCTTCCCGGCCAAGGTACACCCCACACAAGAGTCTCCTACTTACTCTGTGCGATACGTGTGCTCCTTCCTTTGTCTACGGTAGATCTTCACCTGTCTCGTCTGTAGAACGTCTTCTTCCAGGCAGAGACCAATGGTGTCCGCAGAGCTTTAAAACCACACGGCCTTTCACTCTGACTTGACGTCTGTCTTCTGTGTCACACACACACAAACACACACTGAGATCTATTCCTGGCTTGTCTGATCTCTTCCTAGGTCAGGACATGTGTCCTACTTTTAGAATCAGGCAAAAAAGTCATTATTATTTTAAAAACAACAAAACAAAAACCCAATGTCCTTGGAAATGCCTGGCAGCCAGGAGGCGGCAGTGGAGGGGTCTCCCTGGCCCCAACCAGGAGGCCAGAGCAGGGAGGAGACAAATAAGGACCCAGCTGCTTGTAAAATAAAGTTTTCCCTTTTATTTCAAATCAACCCATTCCCGAGTTAGTGCCGCAACTTGAGATGACGGCCCTAAGCCCCCTGGGGCCTGGCAGGGACGAGGACACTCGTGTCCCTTCGAGGATGGGCCTGGTGGCCAGGGGTGAGGGGTTGCGGGGCTAGCTGGCCGCCCCTCCCTGCCAGCCCCAGGGCCCGGCCTGCCCCCTGGCTGGCTCCCCAGGCAAGGGCGCGTGGGAGAGGAGGCAGGGCAGGGAGGCAGCCCGTGGGGGTGTCCGTGTCCAGAGGTGCTGTTAGAGGTGAGAGCCCAGTCAGGCTGGGTTAGTGGGGTCTTCTCTGGCAGCCAGGGAAGGAACTGCAGAGAGAGGCAGACACAGGGCGCCGGATGCAGGTGGCAGGGCCACCCCCCTGCCCGGAGCGAGGGAGAGGCGAGCAGGGGCTGGCCGCGGGGGGAGCCAGGGTGCCGCTCTGGAAGCTCACCGGGGTGGGGGCTCAGGCTCCAGTCTGGCACGGAGGAGGGGCTCAGATAGATGACTGCCACTGCACGAAGCGCTTGGATTCCTGCAGGGGAGATTGGGGAGATCGGGGAGGGGGTATGGAGGGGATCTGGCTTTGTATCACAGGCCCCTGGCCTCCTCCCTCAGACCAGCGAGTACGGTACCTGAGGGTTGAAAGGGTCATCATCATCTGCGTCGTCATAGTCGTCACTGGGGGGCGATGGGAGTGGCAGAGAAGCCGGATGGGGGACCTGTCAGGAGGCTGCTGCCCCAACAGCGGCCCAGGGGTCCAGCCCGCACCGCCTCCCCCCAGGACCACGCCGCCCTCCCCTCCTGACCTGGGCGGGAAGAGGGCCCAGGCACGCGGCAGGCTGCAGAGGGTGGTGGCTAGGGCCCCCGCAGACAGGAGGGAGAAGAGCAGCAGGAAGAGCAGGCCTTCCAGGGCATCCTCACACAAGCCCCGCAGGGCAGCGCCGTAATCCTGGGGGGGCGGGGGGGGCGGGGGGGGCGGTGTGTCAGCGGGCACGCCCCCTCAACCCCACACAGCCGGCTGTGCCATGCTGGACAAGTCACTCAACATCTCCGTGCCTCCGTATGAGCACACAGGAGGTGCTCCAGGCACAGTCATCATTACACGTGCAGGTGTAAACCCAAATCTTGGCCTCCCCTCCACCCCACCTCCAGCCACCACACCGGCTCAGCCTTGGTCCAGTGCAGGGGTTCCGACACCATGAGCCCGATGATTCTCCGTCGTGGGGCGTCCCGTGCACTGTAGGATGTTGAGCAGCATCCCTGGGCTCTGCCCACTACGTGCCACGAGCACCCCCACCCTGGCTGTGACAACCATTGCCAAATGCCCCCCGGGGGCAAAATCTCTGGCTTACAACAACACTTAGAATAATGCTTGGAAGAACCCCTGACTTGGAATTATACCTTGCGCATAATGCACGCTCAGTAAATGCTGGCAGCCCCTCCCGGCATCCCTGGAAATGAGCTGAGCCATTTCCTGAATGCCCGGCCATCATTCATCCCACAGATTAGCCAAGGGCCTGCTCTGTGCAGGTGTGGCTCCCACTCCCAGGGCTACGTGAGTTACGAGGCTCCAGAAGGTCATTTCAGATGACCGTAAGCCGAGAGGGGACCAGAGGGCAGGACCGGGCCCCGACAGCATGAAGGAACAGTGGGCTCGAGGCCCAGGAGCCGTCTGGGGGCTGCTGTGGCCCGAGCAGGGACGGGGTGCAAGGGGCTGAGGCTGGGACCAGCCCGGGCCCTCGCAGATGAGGCCAGGAGCTAGGCTTTAATCCACATGCAGGGGAGTCACTGGAGGCTTTAGTGGAGAAAGAACTTGATCGGATTGTGTGATAGAGGCTCACCCAGCTGCTAGCTGTTGTGGGAGGACAGATGGGGGGGCAGCAGGAGGGCAGGAAAAATGCTCTGCGGCCACTGGGCGGGAGGGGAGGAGGGTGACCAGGGTAGCAGCAATGGTGGAGGGAGCCACACTCAGAGTCCAGATGGGCTTCGGAGGAAGGGCCGGCAGAGCTTTCCTGGGGAGTGGTTGTGGAAGGTAAGGACAGACGGCAAAAGGGATGATCCTAGGTTTCTGGCTTGAGCCCCTGGGCGGGGGGCAGCGGTGTCTGGTACTGAGCCAGTGAAGCCCGAGCGAGGGGCCCGTCAGCGCAATGGGGCGTTCTCTTTTTACTGCATCAGGCACCTAGACAATGTCCTTTCATCCCCCTCCTGGTCCTACAAGGCAGAGATCGGGCCCCCTCACACTGCTGCCTTTTGCCGTGGCAGAAAGTTGAAACCCAGAGAGGGCAAGCCACTTGCCCAGAGTCACAAAGCCTGGAAAGGGCAGAGGTGGGATTAGAGCCAGATCTGTCAGGCTCCAGAGGCCCCCTCCTGCCACTTTATCCCTGATGTCCCTCAATCCTGATTGTAACATGTGGGGACCCTAAAGCCCAGAGAGGGGAAACTGAGGCCTGGAGTCATGGGGTGCACAGAGTAGAGGGTGAGACTCTGACTCACCTTCCCCCCTCCCTCCCTCCCCTCTGTCCACAGGGAACCTTGGGAAGTGCGATCCAGCGCAGTGTTGGCCTGGACCACAGAGAAATTTGTGGGCCTCAGTTTGCCATTGAATAAAAGAGCAGGGTTGCCTTCTAGGGTTCTGCAGGTCAGGTATTCAGCAATTCTGAGTATTGATTCCTTGCCCCCCCCACCACCACTGCCCCCTTCCTAGAGTGCCAATCTGAGAAGCTCTGGGGACAGTGGCAGCCATGGAAGGGATGCGATCACTAAGGATGCCCGCATAGATTTGAATTTCAGAAGCCCAGCAACAAAAAAATATTTAGTACAGACATGTCCCCAATATGGCGGGAGACCTACCTACAGCGAAGAGGTATTTGTTGTTTGCTAAATCTGGCAGCCCTGTTGGAGAGCCCGTGGGGGGACAGACAAGAGGGGGGAGGAGGCATGTGCGCTCCTCCAGGGCAGAAGACTAGGCCTGAGCGGCAGGGGGCCCTTGGGATGGGGGTGGGGTGAGGAAGCAAAGGGATGACCCTGAGTGACTGCCTGGCGGTGGAGGCTCACAGAGGGAGAGGGGGTGTGCCGGGCCAGTGGGGAGACCCGGCCCTCTGCACGTCCTCTGTAAGAAGGGGTCATGAAAGCAGCATGGCTAACAAGGGCGCAGGTGCATCCCGCCTGTGCTGCACCTAGTAAAGCCAGGCGCAGGTGAGTCACCCTAACAGACTGTGGTCCCGCCCGGCAAAGCAGGTATCCTCTCCGTCATTTCACGGGTGACAGGGACGGGGACTCGGGGCTCTCCCCTGCCGGTGGCCACACAGCCGCAGCAGAGCCAAGGTTGGACGAGTCTGCGGGACGCCGGGCATGCTTTCTCCGGGCGGCCCTGCCCAGCCTGCTGCTTCAGTGTGGACCTTACAGCTACTGCCCCCTGCGATCCCGGTTCATTTATAACGGAGGACGCTGAGGCACGGAGTACTTAGTGACTTGTCTGGGTCGGGAGCTAGGACAGGAGCCCACGCTGTCTAGCTCCGGCATTCCCGAGGCTGCAGGGGCTCCAGGGGAGAGACGGGGAGGGGGACGGGGAGGGGTGGCGGTGGAGGGAGGGGAGGCGGACGACAGATGCACGGATGGGGTGGGTGGATAGGTAAGGGAGGAACGTAAGGATTTTTCGGGCTCCCTGGAAGAATCTGGACGGGGGACAGGGCGCACCTTGTGCAGCCCGCGACAGTGCAGCAGCGCCACCAACTGGTGGAAGTCTCCTTCTGTCACATTCAGCGTCTCCTCCAAGGACAGCAGAGGCTTCTGCGCGGGAGCGAGCGTTATCCCACCTGCTCCTGCGGGGCCGGGCTGGCCCGGGCTCCGCCCCTCTCGGCGGGCCCCGCCCACAGGCCGCGGGCCCCGCCCACAGGCCGCCCTTCCCCTTGGACTCGGGGCTGTGGGGGGAGCGCCGGGCGGCCGACCTGCGCAGAAGGGAACTGGGGGACAGCTTCCCGCTCGAGGCCCTGCAGCTGGGAGTGGATGTTGGCCAGAGCTCGCTGCGACAGAGTCAGCCTCTGCGGGAAGACAGGGGGAGGAGGACCGGGTAGTGGCCGCCCCCAGACCACTCTCTTCCCCGGGGACACAGGACTGAGGGCCTCCGGCGCCCGCAGCCTCCCCAAGGACCCACAGTCCAGGCCCCAGCCCGCCCTCCTCCACCCGGCTCCCTTGCCTGCACCCCTAACCTGTTGAAAGGGGTTGGAGACCGCCTGATTGCAGAGGAAGTAATAGTTCAGGATGTCTGAAATGGGAGGGAAAGAGGGGGAGCCCATGAGCCTGGGTCCCCGGAGCCTCCCCGCGGGGAGGTGGGAAGGAGCAGGGCGCTGCCTCCCCACCCTCAGGGCCAGGGGCCCCTCCCCAGCCCGGGGGCCTCCTGTGGTCCCAGCGACCCGACATTCAGGGACAGGCTACCGTCCTGCCCTCCTGCCCTTGACTAAATTGTGCAGCATTTCTCCCAAGTGGCCAAATCTTCCCATTCTGGGGGAGGGACGCCCAACCCTGTCTCCCAACTGCTCTCTCCTGAATCCAGCATCTGTATCCCTGTCTCTTTCCCGTGCCACCAGGAGAGGTGCTGAGAGCTTCTGAGACCGAGCACCGCCCCCCACCACCAGACCCCAGGCAGGACTGGGCAGAGAGGCCTGAGGATGCAGGGCCTGCAGGGGGTTGGTGGGGTCACCTGAGCTGAGCCCAGTCTCCTCCTGGGTCAGGTTCAGGATGTAGGTGTCAGGACTGGAGCAGAAGTCACTGAGGCCCTGAGAGAGGCATTAGGAAGAGGGGCTCAGAGCAGAAACTGCTCTAATTCCACACACCCACAGAACTCAGTGTCTGGCTCACCTGCCCCCCAACCCCTTTCCTGATCATCCCTGGGGAGTCAGGAGTCCAGGCTCCCAGCCCCTCCTTCCTCAGACCCAGGAGTCCGATCCCACAGGCCCTCCTCCCCCAGACCCAGGAGTCCAGACCCCCAGCCCCTCCTCCCCCAGACCCAGGAGTCCAGACCTCCAGCCCCTCCTCCCTCAGACCCAGGAGTCCAGACCCCCAGCCCCCTCCTCCCCCAGACCCAGGAGCCCAGGCCCCCAGCCCCCTCCTCCCCCTGACCCAGGAGTCCAGGCCCTCAGACCCAGGAGTCCAGACCCCCAGCCCCTCCTCCCTCAGGCCCAGGAGTCCAGACCCCCAGCCCCTCCTCCCTCAGGCCCCGGAGTCCAGACCCCCAGCCCCTCCTCCCTCAGGCCCCGGAGTCCAGGCCCCCAGCCCCTCCTCCCTCAGACCCAGGAGTCAGACCCCAGTCCCTCCTCCCTCAGGCCCAGAAGTCCAGACCCCCAACCCCTCCTCCCTCAGACCCAGGAGTCCAGACCCCAGTCCCCTCCTCCCCCAGACCCAGGAGTCCAGGCCCCCAGCCCCCTCCTCCCCCTGACCCAGGAGTCCAGGCCCTCAGACCCAGGAGTCCAGACCCCCAGGCCCCTCCTCCCTAGTGTCCAGGTCTCTAGCTTCTAGACCTCAGAACCTGTGTTCCTGGCCCCAAGTCCTTCCCCTTAGGACCTGCCCCAGGGCCCAGGGGCCCAGCCTCCATTACTCACCACAGCTGTAGCTGCCTCCAGGCCCATGGAGCCCCAGCTCAGGACAAGAACCAGGAGACTCATCACTGTCATCCTATAAAAGGGGAGGGGATTGGTTTGGGGTTCTGGGGTTTTTCATTTACCTGCCTCACCTTTTCCCTTCCCCCGCCCCAAATCCCATCACAGCCCCTCCCCCTTCCCCACCAACCTCTGGAGCCTGGAGGATCAGAATTAGGGGGGACAGGGGGAGGATGGGGCTGCAGGTCGTAGACCTGTGATTGTTGACATTGAACTGAACATCTGGTCCCTGCCTGGGAGTGAGGGGGAGGATGCTGAGAAGGGCCCTGGGCTGGCAAGCCAGCAGCCCAGATGCCAGCCCAGCGATGCCCCCGCCTTGCTCTGGGATTCTGGGAGAGCTACTGCCCACTTCCGGGCTCTGCTTCCTCGCTTTGAATCCGCAGGAGCCCAGTAGTTCCCAGGCATGCCTCTCAGGTTTGAGCACAGCTTGGTCACCTCCTGCTCTGCCCACACTCCTCCTCCAAGGCATGGGCACTGCCAGGGCTAGAACTGCAGCCTGGTTTTTCTCTGGGGATGGGGTCTAGGGGCAAGGGTCAGCACTGGAGGGTGGTCACCATCTCTAAACCTCAGGGGGAGCCTGCATGGGACAGCAGGACTTCTCACCCAGGGTGGGTATGGAGACTGGGGAGCACCAGCAGGGCCCCCAGAGGCAGGGAGGATTCAAGGGCCCCTCTAACTGGGATGGGCTGGCCTGAGTCGAAAACCAGCTCCAGCACTTCCTGGCTGTGTGGCCCGGGGCAAGTGGCCCAACCTCTCTGAGCCCCCATCTGCCCCTGGGTTAAATGGGGAAAAGGAAAGCATACCCTCACAGGGTCAGTGTGAGGGTTCCAGAAGAGGGCTGGCCACACAGAATGAGCCGTTAAATAAGGGTGTGGTCTTGAGATTCCCGTGAGCCACGTAACGGTCACGCAGCCTCAGATGTGGTCACCTTCTGCCTCTGCAAGTCAGGTGCCTGACGGGCCCCTCCTTCACGGGGTTGTGTGTGCACAGCCCTCAGTAGAAGTCAGTAATCACCCCATCCTCAGGGCAATCATTATATATATATATATATAATTTTTTTTTCCCCTAGGATTTTGGAGTCCTTCCCACGCCTCAGGGCCTGTGTTTCCGGGTCTGCCCAGCCCGTCCTGCGCTAGGCCTGGTGTCTCTGTATGTGCTGACCCAGCCCAGGACCTCCATGGAAGTCTATGGGACAAGGGAATGAGAGCATGAACCGGGCAAGGACAGTGGTCCCTGTTGCAAGAGTGCTGTGGGATGGAAAGAGGTCCCCTTGTGCTGGGCCGTGAGCCTGCCCCGAGGGCACCCAGACTCACACGATCACCAGCCACTTGCTCTGCTTTGCTAGGCCCAGGAGGGTGAAGAGGCAGACCAGCAGCTCCAGGAGCAGTAGAAGGACATAGGCCAGCCACCTGGAGAAGGGACAGGGTGACACTGAGCAGCAAATCCAGCCCTCCGTACCCAGGCTCCCAGGCCAGGGTGGCAGAGGGGGACGGCACCCCCACGCTCATGCCCTGGTCCCCAGGCCACAGCCAGCTCCTCGTGAAATGGGTGCACTGGGAGGCGGGCCACTGCAGCCGGTCAGAGCTCAGGTGCCAGGGTCTGGGCGCCTGGAACCCCACCCCGGCTGGACGGTGCACAGGCCCTGTCACCGGGCATGAGCGCTTGGCCCCCTGGAGCCCCACCCGCCACGGCACCCTGCCGAGTGAAGCGGGTGGTTCCCGGGCGTGGGCCGAGTGTCCTACTGCACAACGTGGGGCTCGGCCAGGCTCTCCACTTCCTACCTGCACGCAACCTTGTCTCAGGAGCTTTGCCTCCTGTGCCTTGGTTTCCCCGCCTGTAACGTGGGGGAGATCAGCAGCACCTGCTCCGAGAGGGTGTTGTGAGGCTAAGGAGCACAAACTTAGAAGGGTACCGGGCACACGGACACCCTGAAATAGGAGCTTGAACGTGCAGGGAACTTCACATGCTAGTTAAGTATTAATGATTGATTCACTCTGCTCGGAGGGCTGGCATGGCGTGAATGCTCCATAAATAGCAGCACTGGCCGTGGTCCCCACACAGCCCTGTGAGGCTGGGGCGCCGGAGTGGCAAGAGGACCCTCCTTTCCCAAGGGGGAGCTGGGCCGCGTGGCTCCGGGAGACCTGCAGGCTTTTGCTCCCAGCGTCCCCGCCGCACACCCCAGCTTCACTCTCTCGCTTCCGTCAGGAGCAGCCGACCCTTCTGCCCTAAGCCGCTGTGAGCACCTGCTCTGGGCCTCCAGGAACTTGGCCAGGAAGCTCTCCCTCCAGGGGCCCCAGTAACCTTGCAGGAAACTGGCCACCTTAGCTGGGGGAGGACTCCCGAGGCCCAGGCACTCATATTGGTACATCCAGAGACGTTTCCTTGTTCGGGGTGAGTCTGCCTGCACGACTACCTGGGGCCCCTAGAGGGGGGCTGAAGCCTGGCACGTGGCTTAGCCACAGTGCAGAACCCGGACTCCCTGGGACCCAGGCCTGTCTGAGGCCCCGCGGGGGTGTCCTTATCATGGACTGCTTCAGCCCTGATGGGCCTCCACCCAGGAGCACAGAAGCCAGGAGGCAAGAGACGGAGTCCTGCCTCTGCCCCGGTGCCTGGGCAGGGCCCTCAGAAGGTGTCAGATAAACAGGAGACATAATTCCTCAGCCGAAGCAATGAGGACTTCATCATATTGGCTCTTGGCAAGGGTGCCTGCCCCAGATATCCGCATAACCTGTTCCTCCCTCACATATCACCTTCTCGGTGCGGCCTCCCCAGACCCCCGCCCCCGACGCCCACACACGCCCACTGCACGTGCAAACTGCCAGTCACTGTCCCCAGCCCATCCCCCTCCCTTGCTTCACTTTTCTCCAAAGCTCTTACCACCCACCACCTCACAAGTGTTTGCTCCTTCTTGGGCCCCTTACTGGAAGATGGGCAGGAGTTGCCGTCTGTTTTGTTCATTGCCCTGTCTCATAAAAACTTACATTTTCCACACATCTGTATAGTGTGTGCCCATCACTGTTGTAAGCACATACGGATAAGCACTCATCTGATCCTCAACAATCCAATGAGGGGAGCACTACCCATCGTTCCCACTTTACAGATCGGGACACCAAGGCACGGAACTGGTAACTTGTCACAGGGTCACGGAGTGGCCATCTGGCCTTAGAGCTCATGTTCCTAACCACTGGGGCACCCCTCTCTGTCACCAGAAGGTGCTAAATCAGGATCTGTTGAGTGGATGCACGTGTCAGATGGATGACTGAGGGGTGAGTGAGTGAGTGAGTGGATGAATGCGAAGATGTGAGCAGGCCGTGGGGTCCACCTCCGTGGCAGGGTTACTCAGCCCGGGCACTGTGACACTCGGGACAGGTCATCCTTTGCTGCAGGGGCCGTCCTGTGCATTGCAGGATGCATCTCTGGTCCCCCACCTACCAGGTGCGAGTAGCTCCCCCTCCCCCAGTTACGACAACCAAACATGTCCCCAGACGTTGCCCAATGTCCCCAGGAGGCACAGTCACCCAGGGTGAGAACCCCTGCCACCCGGGGTAAGGACGAGCAGTCACCCACCTGTACTCCTCCACAAAGGACACGTCTTCGGCCACCTGCAGGGGACTCAAGGGCACTCCCCGCCAGAAGGCCAGCGCCTGGAGCTGCTGGGCCACCGCCTCCGCCTGCCCCCGAGCCCCCCGGGCAGCAGCCACCAGCTCCGGGCGCTGCACCAGCACCTCCTCCAGAGTGGTCAGCTCTGTCCTCACGGCCTCACCTAGCCTCTCCACCGTCTCCAACACCTGCGTGCAGGGGGCAATCTGGGGTCAGAGGAGGGCATTGTCTGGGGAGGCCGGGGTTGGGTCCAAGGGTGTGGGGTGAAGTAGGAGTGGCAGGTGTCTGAGATCTGGGGGCTAGGACATCTGTGGAATGAGGTACAGGTCTGTGGCCTCCCATCAGGAGCTCTGGGTGGTCAGTGGCTTGGGTCCCAGGTAAGATTAAGGCACCAAAACTAGAATTATGCCTGAGTTTTTGAGTCTGAAGTTGGCACCTGCCTGCCTGGGTCTGGGGTCCTGAGTCTCAATTCCATGGTCCAGGGTCTGCAATGGACATGACATTTGAGGTCTGAGGTCAGCCTGGGTCTCAGCTCTGGGTCTGGGACCCTGGGCCTAGGGATGGGAGTGAGACCTCTTGGCAGAGTCCTGGGTCTCAGCACTGAGGTCCCTGAGCTTTCGTTTAGGCCACAGATCAGGTCTGAGGGCCTGGATCTGACCTGAGGGCAGGGGTTCAGGGCTGAGACTAAGTGAATTGGGGTCTAGATTTGAGCCCCATGTTTCAGATCTGGGTTGAGGGTCTGAGGGGGCCATGTGCAAGGTCCCGGTTGCAGTCAGGGCTGGAGGTGGGGTGTACGGTCTGAGGTCTGAGTCTGAGGCTGGGGTCCCAAATCTCAGGCGTGGGGTCTTGGCTCTGAGTTTCGGTCCCGTTTCTCTGGGAGGTGGCCCTTTGTCCGGGTATGGGGAACCAGTCTGGGTGTGGGTCTGGGGTCTGGGGTCTGGCCGGTGCCTGGCCCCTCACCAGGTGGTCTATGGCGCTGAGCGTATGGTTGGCATGCAGCAATGCTGAGCTGAGCTGGGACACCCCATCGCTGGTCTCGCTGTTGCCATAGAAACCGATGCCAATGCCGGCGCTGAGAAGGGGAGGGACGGGAAATCACAGTCCGTCCCGGGACCCTGGGGCCGCGTCCCCCCACCTCCTCACACACCCGATTCCGTCTCCCACCCCCCACCCCAGCGGTCCAGCCCGTCGTGGGAAAGGAACGTCTCCAGCATGGCCCCCACCGGTTGCCAAGGTAACGGGAAGCCCCCTCCCCCACCCCGGGACGTCATTGTGATGCTAAGGGTGGGTGGAGGGGCGGGGCGGGGGGGGAGCAGATTTAACCCGCACCTCACTGGAGCGGAACCCCTGTCACGCCCAGCCCCAGGAGAAGCCCTCCCCCCAGGATTGCCGGCCCCACACCCAGCCCTCCCTCCTTTCCTCAAGCACCTGTCCCTTCAGGGCGCCGCCATCCCCTCCCCGCCTCCTGGGGCTTCCCAGGAGTGCTGGCCCCCCAGTCATCATCTCCCGGGGCGGGGGGCCCCGAGCCTGGAGCTCCCCGCCTCCCCCCGCGCCCGGGACCCAAGCGTCTGGCCAGCTGAGAGCGAAGCAAGGGAATGTGGGCCGATGGGCCAGAAGCCTGCGCCCCCGCCCCTCCGCGGCCGGCACACAGAGCTCCATTGTGGGGTCTGAATGCGGGCCCCTCCCCCCCCCCCCAGTGTGTCCCTCCGACCCGGCGGAGAGAGCCGGACGCCCTCACAGTTCCCAGCCCGGGCCACGGGCCCCACCCCCAGCCGTGGGATCCCACGCCCGCCCCGGCGCCCCCGCCCATTGTTCACAGTGGGACAAAGCTGCTCTTGTTCCCAGGCCGCTGGGGGCCGGCCTGTGTCTCCCCCACGGGGTCTTTGTCCACCACCCCCGTCCACCCCCAGTCCGGAGAGCCCGAAGAGGAAGCAGTTTGGAGACAGGACGCCCAGGCCTCCTGCCCCACAGACACCCCCAAACACGCTGTGCGGCTCCCCGCTGTGAGGCAGTGGGTAGGGCCCAGCCCGCCACTCCCCCGGATCCGGGGCGGGTCTCTCTCGGATCCAGGCGGCCCGATCTGTGGGGGTGGCCTGCCGGGAGGGCTGTGCTTAGAGCTGGCTCTTGGTAAACGGTGTAAGGGTGTGTCCTCAAGTGCTCCTCCCCTCTCTCCCGCCCCCCCCCCCCCGGGGTAGGGGGACGGGCCGCAGAAGAACCCCACCACCACGACCCGGGCCCTGAGAGGGGCTTGCGGGTCTCCACTCCGCCACTTGGGCGAAGGGGCCTTGAAAAGTCGCTTTCTCTCTCCCTCTCCCTGACACTTGCCCAGGGTTACTGTGGGAAGGAGTTAGACCAGCTCAGGTCTGGCCTCCTGGACTGTAAATATTACTGGGCTGTCTGTCTCCTTGACGAGAACATCAGCTCCACGAGGGCAAGAACCTCGTCTGGCCCGTTCAGCATCTCCTGGCACATAGCAGATCCGCAAGAAATAGTTGTGGAATGAGTGAATGAATGAATGAATGATTTAATGTATGACATCACCCGTTACTGTTCACCGAGTGCGACTGTGATCCAGGCACTGTACGTTCTCTCATTTAATCCTGCCGTAACTAGGAGGTGGGTGTTACTGTATGTAACGTCCGTTTCAGAGATGTGGAAACTGAATCCTGGGGAGATTACATCATTCCCCTAGCCACACAGCTCTTCGGGGACAAAGCCACTCTTAACCCCTACCCGCTCCTGCAGGCCTGGCTGCCCTTGGGAAGTCACTCCTCTTGAAAGTCAGTTTGTCCATCCATGAAATGGGAGCAGTCCTCCCTGCTGCAAGGCTGAGGTGGGCTTCTAGGACACCCCCAGGAAGGCTGACCGAGATGGTGGGGAGCCCTGTCCCCACTCCCCACCCACCCTGGGGCCCCATTACCAGCCGACGAGAAGGGCAGCAATGCAGCTCCAGGTGACACAGCCTCCCCCGGGTGGGGGGCTCTTGGCTCCGGGGGGCTCTGGGGGCCGGCAGCAGCAAAAGCGGATGAGGTAGACAGCAATGAAAATGAGGCTCAGGCCCAAGCCCAGGCCTGCCAAGGCCACCACCAGCAACAGGGCCTGGGGAAGGGGGAGACATGAGGCCTCAGAGGAGCTCGCTGCTCCCTCCCTGCGTGGCTGGAGGTCCTGGATCCGGGACTTCGGTGGAGGTGGAAGGCAGGCCTGGCTAGAATGGGGGGCCAAGCCCAGCCTGTGGGTTTCAGGTTTGTGGGGAAAGATGGGGTCCCCAGCCCCTCCCAGGCTGGCCGCTGGGGCTCGGCGGTTTGGGGCTGGCTGGGTCACTGGAGGGAGCTTCCTACTGAGAGGCCCAAATCTTGGGTTCCAGTTCTGCTCTGGGTGTGGCCCTCGGCTGGGGCCTTCCCTCTCTGAGACTGTCTCCTCCTCATCCTAACCAGGCAGTTGGAATAGAGCGTCTCCCAGGACCTTCTGAGACCTGCATCCGGAACTGGGTGGGATCAGGGGGTGGACAGGGGTGCCTGTTCCTGGAGATGGGTGTGAAGGCTTCCTCTTCCTCCTCCTTGCCGGTCCTCCCCTCTCACTGCTCACTCACTCCCCTGCTGCTGAGCTCTGCACACCCACTGCAGCGTGAGTCTGTTACCCAGGGACTCACGGGGTGGGGGGCGTGACAGCCTCCATGACAGGGTGTGTGTGCAAGACTCGGGGATGGAGACTTGGAGACAGGGAGGCACAGAGAGATAGAGAGAGAAGAGTGGAAAAGCAGAGATGCAGAGAAAGGAGACACAGAGACAGATGGTGGCAGAACCAAAGGCTGGGAGGACAGAGGCAGGGAGAGAACAGGTATGTGCAGTTGGAAAAGCCTCGCAGGACAACGGGGCTCTCCACCAGGCAGGGCTTTACAGGGGGTGCCCAGAATGGGGCAGGGGGTTACCTTGGGCCACCCAGCAGGTAAGGGGCAACATCAGGAACGGAATCACCCCTCCAGACTCACTAACGCTCTTTCCTGGAAACCACCGTGTGTCTCTGCCTTTGCCTTGCAGTGGGGTGTGGAGTGTGTGTGTGTGTGTGTGTGTGTGTGAGAGAGAGAGAGAGAGAGAGAGAGAGAGAGAATGAGTGTCTCTGTGGGAGCACCTAGGTCTGCAGGTGTGAAAGTGATCTGTTAGCATTTGTGTGTTTCTGGGCATGATTCTTTGAGTCTGAGTGGTCTCTCGTGGTGTGTGTGTGTGTGTGTGTGAGAAAGTTGTGAGTGTGCTTGAATGTGAACATGTGTATGTCATATATGAGTGAATATATGTGTATATATGTGTGAATTTGTGTCTGAGTACGTGAGAGTAAGAATGTGAGTGTTGAGAGTGTGTATGCAAGTGAGCTTGGGGTGAGTGAATGTGTGAGTGAGTGAGAGCAGGAATTGTGTAATTGTGTGAGTGTGTGTATATATGTGTGAGTGTGGGGGGTGTGTGAGTGTGTGAGGAGGGGAATGTGTGTCCGTGTTTGTGCATGGATGTGACTGTGGGTGTGTATACACGTGAGTGTGGGGGGGGTGTGAGTGTGTCTCCCAGCCCGGTGTCACCCCATGCCTGACTTTTTCCAGTTGTGCCCAGAGCGGTCATCTTCCTGGGGGACAGTGTCCCCTCCTGGGCCGTGTGACTTCGCGCCCGTCCCAGTGCTGTCACCCGGCCTGTTGGGAGGGGCGGAGTGAGCCTCTCCCAGTGCCTCGGGCAGTGACTGGGGCCAGCAACGGGTGCATGGCTGTGTGGGGAGGTTTCCTCTGCCCTGAGCAGGCGTCAGCGGCCAGCACTGGAGGTCGTGACTGTGGACACGAGAGGCTGTGGGCGAGGGGATGGCCGTCCCTGTTTGGTGGGGAGAGGGCGGCGTGGAGTAGGCAGGGAGGAGCTGCTCCCGGCTGGCACAGCCATGACCCAAATAGCTCAGAATACAGCACACATCCCCCTCTCTGCTTTTCTGGGACCCCCCCTACACACACACACACACCTCCTAAGCTCTCCAATCCCCAGCCCTTTATCCCAGGAGCTCCTTAGCACAGATCCCAGGGGCCTAGACCCTATAGGCAGGGCCCAGGACACATCCAAGGGCTCCACAGGATTCCCAGGCACCCCCCCCCCCCCAACGCACACACTCCCCCACCCTTCCGCGGCTCAGCCAAGCCTCGCTCCTCATTAATCTCAAAGTCAAGGACTTGAATTAAACTGGGTCAGGGGACAGTTCCTTCACCCCTGTTGGAGCTGACCCGGGCTGGGCCCCCTTCCCCAGGGACCCCCGCTTCTGTAAGGTTCCCACCCCAGCCCCACCCTCCGGACCCATTTCTGTCATCCTCTGGTCCCCAAATGGAATCTCATTCCCCCCACCCCGAGCACCCTGACCACCCCTTCTGTCTTGGGACTGGGGACTGGCTGGAAGCTTCCTCTTACAGCACCTCCACCTCGTTTACCCAGCCCTGGCCCTAAATCCCTCATGCCCCTTCCCCATTTCGGGACTCAATCCCGTCCTAAACCAGGGCACCCCAGCCTTCTTCCTCTCCACCATTATCAGTTCCTGTCTCACCTTAACTGGACGGCCCTGATTCTATCAGGGGAGGGGGCATCTTTTAGGACACGGAGAGTGGACCTATCGCCCTGGTGACCCTGGAGGCTAGCTTCCCGGGCAGTTCTCAGAGACCCTGGAATCCAAGGTTCCCCGGTCCCTTCCCTCCTCTGGGACTAAGGGGTCCAGGCCCCTGACTCTCCTTTATTTAAGGAACCAGGGCTCTGGTCTCCCAGCCCCTGTCCCAGGGGAACCTCCAGGTATGGGAGCCCGCTGCTCCTCCTCTTTCAGATACCCCAAAGTCCGGGCCCGGCCCCCACCCCCGGAGAACACAGGAATCTGTCACCCAGCCCCCTTCTCCCTCACGACCCCTAAGCTCTGCCTCCCCCACCTCCGCCCCCGCCCCCAGGACCCCGCACCCGCTCCCACCTGCTGGTATTCTTGCTCTTGGGGCGCGAACCCGCTGGGTACCGGGCGGAGCTGGAAGTCGGCGCGGGGCAGCTGGTGGAGCAGATGCACCCAAGCCGAGGGTCGGTAGCCCGGGGGCGCCCCCATAGCCCCCGGGGAGGGCGCAGCGGGGCCGACGCCGGGGCTGCGGGAGCCTCGGCAGTGGAGCGGGGCGCGGGCGGAGCGGGGTCTGGCGGGGCTCAGGGGAGAGGAGCAGGGGGAGGGAGAGGGTGGGGGGCGGAGACTGGGGGAGGAGGAGGGAGGCGCGGGCCAGACGGGGACGGTGCTGCCCCTGGTGGCTGCCGGGGGGACTGCGGCGCCGTGAGCGGGGCCCCAGCGCTCCGCCCCTCAGTGCCGGCTCCCACCTGCGGCCGGCGCAGGTCCCACGCTGTCCAGCGACATCCCTGTCCAAATGAGGCCGCTCATATTGTGCTATCACCCCACAGCAGCAAAGGATCCCTTTATCTCTAGGAAGATCCTTTATGTCTGTGCAAAAGTCACTAAGTATTTGCACAGCATCTTACAAATAACGGTCAGTTGCATCAATAAAAAAACCCCTCACTTCTGTGTGTAAGGGTACTCTCCTCTGTAAAGGCTGTCATTTGGGTAAAAGCCCCACCTTTTAAAATCTGCATAAGAACACAGCTTCTATACACAAACCTTCCTAGGTGTGCAGACCATTCCAGAATGTACGCCTGTATGCCAGTGTTAAGGACCCCTCACATCTGCTTAAGGACCCTTCCTGCCCCAAGAAGAACCCCGCTCATCTATCTAGGGACCCCTACCATCTTTATAAGAATGCCTGCCATGTTTTTAAGAACCTCTCCAAACTTTTTAAGGATTACTTCAGTGTACATAAGGGTCCCCCTTCCCCTTGCCATTCACTTTACAGTTTACAGAGTATTTTTCCAGCCGCGGCCTATAATGAGTCTCACAGGAACCCAATGATGCCACCTGATATGTGGGGAAGTAGAGACCCTTGGAGGGGACCCAGATACTTTGACATCACCACCCGGGCAGTCACTGTGGGAGCTAAAACTAAGGTTCCCAGGAATCCGACCCAGGGATCCTTCCCACCCTTGTGGAGCTAGGCTAGACTTTGCCACCTGGGGTCCCCACACCCTGGCCTCCTCTGGAAGGACTGAGATGGGCAGGAGGAAAAAGGGGAGGTTAGTACTCCACCTTTCTCATCCCAATATTGTGCCCCAGATTGGTAAGAAAGGGCTGAGGATAGGTAGTTGCCCAACCCATTGCTAGAAGAAAAATAATGATAGTGGTGGTAATGGTCATGATGGGGATGGTCATGATGGTGATGATGATGATGATGATGGAGATGATGGTGATGGTGGTGATGGTGATGATGGTGGTGATGATGGGGCGGTGATGATGATGGAGATGATGGTGATGGTGGTGATGGTGATGATGGTGGTGATGATGATGGTGATGGTGGTGGTGGTGATGGTGGTGATGATGGTTGTGATGATGGTGATGATGATGATGATGATGATGGAGATGATGGTGATGGTGGTGATGGTGATGATGGTGGTGATGATGGGGTGGTGATGATGGTGGTGATGGTGATGATGATGGAGATGATGTTGGTGGTGATGGTGAGGATGATGGTGAGGATGATGATGGTGATGGTGATGGTAGTGATGGTGGTGATGGTGGTGATGATGAGGATGATGATGGTGATGGTGGTGGTGGTGATGGTGGTGATAATGGTGATGATGGTGATGATGGTTGTGATGATGGTGATGATGGTGGTGATGATGGTGGTGGTGATGATGGTGGTGATGGTGATGGTGATGATGGTGGTTATGGTGGTGGTGATGATGGTGGTGGTGATGATGGTGGTGATGGTGATGATGGTGGTGGTGATGGCGATGGTGATGATGGTGATGGTGATGGTGGTGATGGTGGTGATGATGGTTATGGTGATGATGGTGGTGCTGATAGGAATGAGAGTGATGATGATGGTGGTGTGATACTGGAGGGAGTATCTGGATGGAGACACGGAAGAGTGAGGATAGCTGTCCTCACCACACACACACACACACACACACACACTCCCTCTCTCTCTCTCCTTCTCTCTCTCATCCTCTCTACCCTAGTCTTCTCCAGCCCATCTCCAATTCCAACTCCAGTGGCTGGAGTCATGTCCTCCACTGTCCCCAACTAGATGGGATGCATGGGGCCTGGAGATGACAAATTTCCTGAGATGAGAAGCCATGAGTTGTGCTAAGTGACCCCAGGCAAGTGACTTCCCATCTCAGAGTCTCTGCTTCCCTATCTGTAAAATGAGGGGAAAGAGGTGAGATTAGCCTGTCCTAAAAGCCCTTGTTGGATAATCTTCCACATCATGTCTGCAGCCAATGTTTGCAGAACGAGCAGGACTTGCTAAGGGGGAGAAGAATTCCAAATTCCATAATGTGTGTAGCTGGGCTCATGTATCTGTGGGTGGGGTGAGGTGGTCGTTGTGACTCAGTGACTCAAGAGCCATGGGATCAGGGGCACCTGGGTGGCTCAGTCGTTAAGCGTCTGCCTTCGGCTCAGGTCATGGTCCCGGGGTCCTGGGATCGAGCCCCGCATCGGGCTCCCTGCTCTACGGGAAGCCTGCTTCTCCCTCTCCCACTCCCCCTGCTTGTGTTCCCTTTCTGTGTCTCTCTCTCTGTCAAATAAAGAAATAAAATCTTTAAAAAAAAAAAAAAGAGCCATGGGATCAGGTCAAACAAACCCTCTTAGTCCTGCTTTCAAGTCTCCCACCATCTGGCCTTATGTCCACCCTCCCCAATATGGATATTTGAGGGTGTGGGACTTCAACCACACTGAGAAATACATTTTACAATGTGATCTGGTGCACACACACATGCACACACACATCTGAAGTGAAACGTTTCATGAACAAAACTGACCTCCAATAAGCACAATGCTCTCATCTTCTATGCTTATTCTATTTCGGAAATAAAAATCTGGTCACAACCTAAGTTTTTCATGACTGGGTAATGGGTCTTAACCTGCAATCTGAAAAACACTAATCTTGAATGCCAGAGAACAATCTGGGTTGGTGTTAGAAAAGGAGTAATTCTTACTAAGTAGAAGTAGACTATATTGGCTTCCCGGGGCAGTGGAGGGGGGGGCACTCAGTGTTTTACTCCTGCACCCCTCCTCACAGCATGTGTGCATGCATGAACAGACAGACATATACACACAGACAGGCACACACCACTCCCTTTCACTCCCCTTCAGAAAAAGGTTTGGTGACTGAATCTCCCTTTCTCCCTCTGGCTCCTTTTCTTGTGTCCATCTCTGTCTCCCTCACATACAGTTTGGGTCCCAGAAGGTCTGCATTCTTTAGGACATTGCTTCTGGCCTTCCCTGATTAAGCCCAAGGCATCCATCCCAGTCCATGGGAGAGCTGAGATGCTGTCTGATAGAAATTTGTTCTCTTTGACCTTCTCCTGCCCTTGCTCTGAGTCTGTTTCTCATGGGAAAGATAAATGGTTTTCCCAGGGTAGTCCCTGAGCATTTCTAGGGTTTTTGGCTGAATACCACTGCAATGCCATCTCAAGCTCTATAGCTGTTAATTCAGGGCTGGAGTGCCTGAGAACCCCCCAGTGGAGTAGGGCTCAGAGAACGTGGTTTTTCCTCTCTAGTTTCAGCCAATGATTGCCATATGGGAAGAGGGACGCAGCATTGCCAGATGTTTCAAATTTCCAGGAGAAGACAGAAATCTGGATATTTTTAAAAGCAAAATCCCTCAGCTCTTAAATGTTAAAACGAATTCAAATACAAAAAAAAAAAATATACTGTGTGGGCCAAATAAAACCTGTCTGTGGGTTGGAGCTGGCTGATTCATAAGCTCTGGTCTAGCCAGATGCTCAGCAGCACCAGCAAGCGGAGGAAGGGACCCACAAAGAGGCTGCGGAGGAGCAGCCCGGAGAGGCAGGAAGGAAGCCAGAGAGAGGCAGCAATGACACCTCTTCCAGGAAGGCCTCCTGACCTACCTCTCTTGATGGAAGACCAGAGCAGGTCCTGGCTAAAGAGTTCAGCATGTACTCCTCAGGGCTCAAACTCAGGGATACTCACCAGCTTAACAAAGTGGTTGAGTATATATTGTATGAGTCCATTTGGATGGTGTTCTAGAACAGACAAAAAAGCTAATTTATGGTATCAACAGTAATCAGAGCAAGGGTTACCGCTGGGAAGGCGGGGACAGGGCTGACTGGGAAGGTGCTGGAGTGAGGGCATCATTCTGTATTTTGATTAGGGTTTGGGTTTCACAGGGATCTGCATTTGTGCTACACTTAAGATTTGTGCATCTCACTGCAAATTTTACCTCGAAAGAAAATAAGAACTCTAGCTAATCCTATGCATGCTCGAGTATTGGGGAATTGGGCGGGGTGGGGGAGTGTAGTGGGTCTTCAGTTCCCTTTGAAATGGATCAAAAAAGAAAATAAGATGGATCGATGGAGGGACAGATATGTAATAAAATATTAATGGTAGAATCTAGGTGGCAAATATCTGGGTATTCACTGTAATATTCCTCATTTTGTCCAGCTGTACCGGGATATAATTGATAGAGAACACTGAGTAGGTTTAAGGTATATAGCGTAACGATTTGATACATGCCTATATTACAAAACGGTAAGGTCAATTAACATATCCGTGACCTCACGTAGTCACATTTTGTATGTGTGTGTGGCGAAATCTCTCTCAACAACTTTCAACTATACAATATGGTAGTTAATTCTAGTCACATGCTGTACTTAGATTCCCAGCACTTATACATCTTATAACTGCAGCTTTCACCCCTTTCCTCCCTCCCCCACCCCGGGGAACCCCCAATCTGTTCTCTGTATCTATGTGTTTGGGGTTTTTTTGTTTTGTTTTGATTCTATACATGAGTAAGATCATACAGTATTTATCTTTTTCTATCTGACTTATCTCATTTACCATAATGCCCTCAAGGTCCATCCATGTTGTCACAAATGGCAGGATTTCTCTGAGTTAGTGGTTTTGTGCTCCTCCAATAAATACCTAAGGTGGATTTGCTGGATTATGGGCATTTCTGTTTCATTTTTTGAGGAGCCTCCATACTGTTCTCCTCAGTGGCTACACCAGTTTGCATTCCCACAAACAGTGCAGGGGGATTCCTTTTTCTCCACATCCCCACCAACAACACTTGTTGTCTC